CTAGATGTCCTTTAACAGCAGAGTCCGGAGTGCCCCGTGTCTGAACATCCAGCCATTTTCAGATCCAAGCACTTGAGAGGGCAGTGAATCACTTCCAGGTATATGTGTTGTGACTCGTGCTATGACTAACAAGATCTCCCAGGAGATTTCAAATGCGAATGATGACACTTACGATCTGGATAAACCATTCTCTTCGGGATACCTTTTCTTCAAATGAAAATACTTTTGTTTCGAGTAGTATGGCAAATTCTCATGGCGCTCACCCTGCACTCTCTCGAAGATGGTGTTTTGGTGAGAACGTAGAAACTTCCACAAGTTTCTGCTGATCCTCACAATTCATTAATGTTGTTTTACGTACATACATTTTATCGTTTATAGAAACATATAACACATGCGACCCCTTTAGTGGCCGAGAGGGAATATTGCTACACCGCGAGAAAGCGATGTCCCCTCGCGGCCACCATAGATTCCCGTTGGCAACACCCCTCATTACACAAGATACACGTGTCGCACGGCCTCTTAGCTATTGATAGCGCGCGCGCGCGTGTGTGCGTGTGTGTGTGTGTGTGTGATGTTGTTGTTGTTGTTTTTTTGTGTGTGTGTACGTATTGTATCAGTGTGGGTAATTGAACCGGGTTTGAGGGTCGAGCGAACATGTAGCAGCTTTAACTGTTCAACGCCCGAACTATTTAGAGTGTGATAACCCACAGCGCGCCCTCTTGGTGTCACATGACCGTCACTTCCCTGTCTGTGACAGTATATACTTCATACATACTTATAATTCTATGTCAATAGTCAATTGAATCCAGAAGGAACTAGGAAGGTACTGGGCGGCTATACTTTGTTTGAGTGAGGTGTCCATGTTAAAACTGTTAAAAACAGCATTAGTCCCTGACAAGTACAAACAATTGACTGGGTGGAGTTACGTCCCCTTGCCGTACCAGGATCGTCGATCGTGCATTCCAAATCCAAATCCCAGCTGAATATACTCCTGTGTTGTTAGCAGTTGCACAACCTGTACGGTTGGCAGCCATCATGAAATTGTCGTTTTTGAACATTGGCCTAATGTTTCTGCATATGTCATGCAGAAGAGTGTGGTATGCTGAATAACATATAAAAATGTTGATTGCTTTATCACTTATGACCCTACATAGCCTTTGACGCTCACATGTACCAATTATCTAGATCTACAAATTGATATTCAGTTAGGTGTATCAGAAACCTATGATCGCAGGTTCCAATCCATGATTCACTCTGATTATGTTTGTAGGTTTGCCAGCACTATATCCGTACCCAACCCGTGCTTCATCACCATCTTTTTAGGTGTGAAGCACTTCTCCAGCAACGACTTCTCTACATCCCACAGAATTGTTATATCTGGCCAAATATGTGTTAATTGCGTAAAACGTTATCACCTAAAAATATATCCACTTTGAAACATCTGTCCAGATTCATCATAAATTTGAACTCATTATTGCGTTAAGGTGTCTAATTTTATTTCTTTTCATGATGATGATGATGATGATGATGATTTTTATTACTTTAATTGCTTAATTTTTATTTATTTTAGGCTTGTTACCATCTTGATCTGCATTGTATATTATATGTTGTATATATATATATATACTCTTGTACCACCGTTGGTGGTTTTTCAGAGAAATAAACTGAACTGAACTGATCAAGCTGGTATAAACACCCGGGTCGCTTTAAGCTTTCATCTCACATCGTGGTAATACGGACAGGGACGTAACTTCCTGGCAAATTGATAAACTGTAATAATATGGCAAACAGATAAAACTGATTAGGTCGACCACAGTCAATAGAGTCCATTGTACGATTCCGACTACACCGTGAGCGGGTGTTTATGAGTCACTATCAAAGAGTGATAATACTAAACTCCATATATAACCGGGGCGGTCGGGTAGCCTAGTGGTTAAAGCGTTCACTCGTCACACCGAAGACCCGGGTTCGAATCCCGACATGGGTACAATGTGTGAAGCCCATTTCTGGTGTCCCCCGCCGTGATATTGCTGGAATAATGCTAAAAGCGGCGTAAAACCAAACTCACTCACTCACTCACCATATATAACCTCTGGCAGTGTTAATGCACTAATTTACAAGACATCTTTAACACTTCCAGCTGTTTTAATGTGTTATGCATGCAGTGTTGTTCGTGATGTTTGTTGGCCGGACGTTTGACACACTGCCATATTTAATCAACAAAATCCGCATATGTCGAAACGATTGTAAAAAAACGTCTCTAAGATCGGGATAACGTGTCTCCACAGATTACACGTGTTTCAGACCATCCAAACATCGAAATGATTATGTTTTCAAGGCGATATATTACAACGAGGTTAATCGAACATAATAACTATATAAAGAGAAATCTTGTGAATACGGACGGGACCGTATTAAATAAAATAGTCCGGATCTACAAATGTCCAGATTAGCCAAATATGTTTCCTTTGTATATAAGTCGCACCAACAAGTCTATAAGGCAGGATGCCCAGACAGGGGTTCGAACAAAAGAGATGTAACTGTATGACGACAATGTATGATAATTCCCCTTTGAAATGATATGAAACTCAAAGACATCAGTATATCACGATGTACTGATGTTGATAAAGATAATGTGCAGAAAAAAAACTTTAAAATATTCACTTCGTCATTTACGCCGCCGCATGTGACAATCATTTTGGGTTAAGTAAATAATTCACAAACATGCCCGAAGGCTGTGTGATGCAACACCCACCAGCCATGACAGATTAACCGAATTATATAAAAAAATGTGTGTTGCTTGATAGTATTGTAAACACAGAACGGGTCAAAGGACGTCATGTTCACTTCCGTGTCACTGTGACCCGCGGGTGGCTTTCAAAAGATTCCTTTCAAACACATTAACAGAGATATCGAGACAGCGGAGAAGTACAAGACATGTCGGAATGTTGAAGCAACGCATGGCTGCTAAGGAACGCGAACAGGGCGACGCTGTCATTACAGCAGATAAATCCATCTCTTGCTCGCTTCTGAACTGTTTACTCCGACATTCATGCAAACAACTTTTTATGTTTTTGTTTTGTGTGTGTCATCTTACTTCTTCTTCTTCTTCTTCTTCTCTTGCAACAATTTATTTTGCATTTATATCTAACGGAGAACTATTTTCTTATTGGCTGATAATACAATGGGTGGGATTTGTACTGGATTATTGTCCTTAACTGTGTCACTGATTTGTACTGTTGTCTAACGTCATTTTGGCATGTTTATGATTATCTAAGAAGTCAGTGAAGTATTTATTTATAAGATTTGACTTCAAGGTGTTTTAGCGTTCATAGAGTTATAAACGTAAAAACTGGAGCGTCCACTATGCGTAAATCCGCTATCCGTATATTTATTGATACCCATCGAAGAGTCAGTTTTGTTTGATGCGAACAGTGGAACTAACGAGAGGGTGAGGTGAAATGGAGTTTAACGTCGTGTCCAAGAGTATTGCACTTATATAGCGACGTGCATGCACGTGTGAGTGTGTGTGCGTGGCTGCTTGTACTAGTCCGGACTAATGCGATTTTATAGTGCCAACCCACTGAGATACCATGCCGCAGTTTAACATGAATACCCCACTCAGCCACAGTATACTGACTCTGAGCCGACCAGTTCTTGTTTTAGCCCCTTACTACCGAGCGCCATGCAGACAGGGTAACAACAAGTACCATCTTTTAACGTCTTTTGGTATGACACAGCCGGGGATCGAGCCCCGGACATTCCGCTCTCCGGCGGACACTCTACCACAAGACCACGGGGGCGGTCCAAATGAGAAGGACATTGTGTACCAGAACATAGTGATGAATAGGACATTACCTCCAGTCTAGGACATTCCTTAGGAATATGTTTCCTGGTATAGTGTTACCTACTTCTGATTGCCCTAGGCCATTTGGCACCAGGTATCCGTGTCCGGGGCGTCTACTGCTAGTGTACAATGTCCGGCGGTCGTTGAGGTCATGGGACTGTATCATCTAAGACACCTGTTTTGTCGTTGATGACATAAACCCCCGATCCTCATCTTTGTATGCCACAACTGTCGTCGTCTTGCACACTTTCATCATTATTTTAAATATTTATGGGTCACAATGTCGAATTTTCAAGACCCCTCTCCAAGACTCTATCCTCCCAGCCTTCAGACTTGCCAGCTCACCATTAGCATTACTGTTCGTACGGTGCAACTACTTCGAAATTCTTCTAAACATTCTAAGGACGACAATTACGGTTATATGAAAAATCTTTATGAATCATTATTGAATCTTGTAATAGAAACAGACCGTTTCCAATTTACTGCAGTTTGGATACCTGTAAATATCATTTAAAAATCTATACCAACATATACTGTCGTGATCCAAAGGATGGCCTCCAAGTAAGCAGAGCGGATTAATGCACTAACGGGTTAATGGCCTAACGGTTAAAACGAAAAACGCATTTCTGCCTCATTAAAATGATTGTCACTTGAGGGAAATAAAAATGTGTTGTTAGTCCCGTACAGTGAGTGAGTATGGTTTTACGCCGCTTTTAGCAATATTCCAACAATATCACGGCGGGGGACACCAGAAATGGGCTTCACACATTGTACCCATGTCGGGAATCGAACCCGGGTCTTCGGCGTGACGAGCGAACGCTTTAACCACCAGGCTACCCGACCGCCCCTAGTCCCGTACAATTTGTATGTAATCAGGCAGTGACCGGCAGAAACAAAACCATTATTGCATGATCGGTCCCTAATTTATAACGAGCACGTATTTAACACATCATCTTTCTTATTACCAGTAGGGGCGGTCGGGTACCCTAATGGTTAAAGCGTTTGCTCGTCACGCCGAAGACCCGGGTTCGATTCCCGACATGGGTACAATGTGTGAAGCCCATTTCTGGTGTCCCCCGCGGTGATAGTGCTGGAATATTGCTAACAAGGGCGTAAAACCATACTCACTCACCATTAATGTTGACTGTTGCAGATATGAACGGGAAGGTTATGAGATCGGGCTCCCGTACCAGTACAACGGCAAGGTAAAGGTTCAGCCACTCCACGGAGTCCATCACAGATATAAATCGGTTGAGGAGCTCATCAACTATTTCCCGCGCCACGTACGGGTACTAACCCAGGTGAGCTTCAAGGAACCCTCTGGAAACCCCAAAACCCTTAATGTGGGAGATTCTTTGGAACTGAAAGCTGTTCGTCGGTCCAAGGTCCATGGTCTGAATTCCGTGAGGTGTACACGTGACGGTGAGGATATTATCCTGCCGAAAAGTGTCACAGGGGTATTTCAGGTTCAAGCAGACGACACTGAGCAGACGATCAAAAATGTGGTTGATACGTACAAACTGCCTCAGTGTGTCAAGTTCATTGACTCTAGCGTCCAGGAGATCATGTCAACGGACATCAAGGAGGCCATTGATAACCTCCAGTCTTACAGTGGTGAGATGTTGCTGACAGGGGTCAAGGACACCGCTCCCGTATTGTTCGGCCATTACAAGGGTATGACGGGGGACCCCAATTCGAAATTCTGTCGTAGGAGCGCAGTGGTCATCCCCCTAGACAACCCGGAAATCAGCGAGATCGAAGTCCAGACTCCAGAATACATGGACAGTGATGACTACGAGTTGTTCGTGCTGCAAAACTTCTCAGAAAGCGCTGCCACGCCGGATTTCGTGGAGGGAACGCTCTATGTGGACTTTCTGCGGACGTCACATGTCCAGTTCTTGGAGATCAAAGAACCTGAATCTGAGTCTGCCGCCCTTCCTCCCCCTGTGCCCCCTAGACTCAAGTCAACTCATGGGGAGGCCCCAGGAGGGCTGAGACAAGAAGCCCCCATACCCCAGCGGCCAGGTAAGAACAGACTGATATATTCGCTTGACTATTCGAACCCTCACAAAAACCAGAATAACACTAAGGAGCGCATAGGACATAGCCCGTGATTGTGTGTCACCACCATTGTATTATTAATCTACATTTCCAAAAATCATAAATATTTCATCAAGTCTAAAGACACGGACGTATTATGTCATGTAAATCTTTGAAATATGCATGTACTCATGTTTCATTTTGGCTTTTGTACAGAGCAAACATACCCCAATACCCTCTGGTTGTCGTAATAGCGGGTAGTCACGTGAGACCTAGCTGAATGTGTGCAATCGTACCTTGTAACGTTGCTGTCAGCCATTGGTTGCCTGGGTGACGCTCAGATATTTACAGTCGCCGTTCCAGCTATGACGACGGACCGGACAATCCAGTGATTGATATTGTGAGAAACGACCAGCGGCGTCGGGGTACAGTCACACGCAATCAATCTGTCCGCGAGCCTGACCACCCGATCCACTTAGTCTCCTCTCACGACCAGCATAGGCTGGGGATTAAATCTAACCCGGAACCCATACACATGTGGATTGCATATACTTGTGTTATTCTCACCCATGAATGTCTGGTTCCAGCCCCAGTGACCCCCCACGGCAGGCAGCCTCCACTCCCACCTCTGATCTCAAAGGCAATCCCAGTTTCGAGGCCTATTAAAGCCGCCCCACCGTCAACCCCGACCAAGCATGTTGCGCCACAACCAATTGCGCCGCAGGCCAGAGGAAAACCAGTGGCAAACCAACCTAGCAGGCCACGAGACACCAAGGGCAAACCGGCAGATCATTTTGAGGACACATCTGTTGGAGAGCTGGCTTCCATAGCCGAGGCGTTCAGTGGGTTTGGATGGGGAGACACTTCAAATAATTGTAATTCCTTCTTGTTTATAACGTTCGTATGAATACATACCAATCTGACTTGTCCTAAAATTTAGGTTTCAAAATCTGTCACTTTTAACCTAAAGCCAAACCCTTTCCCTAATCCTGAACTTAACACTGACTCTAACCTTGACCCCAAACCCTGACCCTGACCCTGACCCTGACCCTGACCCTAACCCTAACCCTGTTTATAACATTGCTATGTATATATACATTCCGACTTGTCCTAAAATTTACGTTTCAATCTACAGCCTTTAAGATAACCCTAGCCCTAACCCTCACCGTAACGCGGATCCTTATCCAAACCCTAACCTCAACCGTGACCGCGACCCTAACCCTTCCTTGACTTAAACCGTGACCCTGGCCCAAACCGTGACCCTGACCCAAGTGATATACTGTAAAACCTGCCTTAAAGGGAAGTGCCATTTTCAGTATAATCACTTCCATTAAAAAAATTATGAAGCATGAGTTCGCCAGCTGCCGCCGCATGACAACCAACCAATCCACCAACCCCACAATCTCTCCACCTACCGCACACCCACCCACCCCTCCAACCTTTAACCTACCAACTCATCATCCAGCCATCCACCGCCCTCCATACTACAAGCTGCCACTCAACCACCCCTCCACCCACCCCACCATCCTTCCCCCATCTCCCAAACACCCACCCGACCATCCTTCCCCCACCACCCCTCCACCCACCCCCCCATCCTTCCCCCACCACCCCTCCACCCACCCGACCATCCTTCCCCCACCACCCCTCAACCCACCCCACCATCCTTCCCCCATCTCCCAAACACCCACCCGACCATCCTTCCCCCATCTCCCAAACACCCACCCGACCATCCTTCCCCCATCTCCCAAACACCCACCCGACCATCCTTCCCCCACCACCCCTCCACCCACCCCACCATCCTTCCCCCATCTCCCAAACACCCACCCGACCATCCTTCCCCCACCACCCCTCAACCCGCCCCGCCATCCTTCCCCCACCTCCCAACCACCCATCCCACCACCCCTCCACCCACCCCACCATCCTTCCCCCATCTCCCAAACACCCACCCGACCATCCTTCCCCCACCCCGCCATCCTTCCCCCACCTCCCAACCACCCATCCCACCATCCTTCCCCCACCCCGCCATCCTTCCCCCACCTCCCAACCACCCATCCCACCATCCTTCCCCCACCCCGCCATCCTTCCCCCACCTCCCAACCACCCATCCCACCATCCTTCCCCCACCCCGCCATCCTTCCCCCACCTCCCAAACACCCATCCCACCATCCTTCCCCCACCTCCCTACCATCCATCCCACCATCCTTCCCCCCCCTCCCAACCCCCCAACCCCCCCAATCCTTACCCCACCTCCCCTCCACCCACCACCCCTCCCACCCCACTCCCGAACAATATCAACTATTTTTATCTATATTATGTAACTTACATGGTCGATAATGTCTTGTCATTTGCCTATTTGTCTAACATGTATCGTAAAGAAATATCTTCTTGGTTATAAACTATAATCAATATGTGTCAAAGCCACTACAGAAATGTGATATGGAATCCTAATAACCGCTGTTGTTTAGGTGAGTCAATACCAAGCCAAGAGGTGCCACAACCGGTAAGGAAAACATCAACATATCACTTTTGCTTATTCAAACATTTCCCTGTATTGATTCTCTGTGCAAGAACGGAACATTTCCTATATAATATCTTCTTAAATATACAAATTATTAGATATTTCCGTTTTTTCTCCCTGTATTCAAATCCTACACATCCTAACGATTCTCTCCTCTTTAGAGTAGCAAATAACACATAACAAATAACATTTTTTCTCAAACCACCTGCAACTTTTTTTCTGTCTTTTCTTAATCCCACACATCCTCACAGTTCTCATTAAAGTTACTAGAAGTGCTTCTCTCTCTCCCAAAATAATACTTTCACAATGTCTATAACCAAGCCATTAACACCATAACCATAGGCCACATTTTGGTATGGTGACCTTTAACAAGGGTTTTCTACATCCCAAACTGTCACTTTTGTTAAACGTTTTTGTTTAATACTTCATCCATATTAGTTAACATTAAATAATTCTGTTCCTGCATCTTGAGATTCTGAAACTTCTTAGTGAAGCATGTTATACAAAAGCTGCAGCAACTAGAAATTGTAAATTAAATATAGATACCTTAAAGTTGAACATCTCGTAGCAGACATTTCCAACGTATGCTGCTCTTCAGAACACCAGATCCAAGATGGCGACTTGTTTTATTGATTCGGACTTTAATTCATTTTTTTTATCGTGTTTATATCATATAGTTGCCACGTTACCCTGGTCGACTTGTAGTCATTGTTATCTACACTGTAAACGGAGCTGTAGGTGATGATATACCACTCAACATTTGGTAGTGGTATTCGACTGCCCAGTGGTGGTGGTGGTTGAAGGTAGATCTGACTGGTTGTTTGGAGATGTTGTTGTACGAAGAGGATGCGATTTGGGCATGGAACTGACGCATGTTATTCTTCATTTCAATAATAATGTACAAACGAAAACATTATACTTGTTGTCTCCCGAGTTTCGTAAGTGTGTGAACTAGCATAGTATCCTTATCATGAATTGAGTAGTAAGTTTAGGGTCAGGGTCAGGGTCAAGGTCAGGGTTAGGGTCAGGGTCAAGGTCAGGATTAGATTTAGGGTCAGGGTTAGAGTTTACATCATTCCCCAGTCTTTCAACACCTCGCTCTGCGCTTGGACAGGTTAAGCTGAACCGTGTGAGGTTATTTCGGATTGTTTGGCTGAGCTTGTGCATCTTCGTCATGTCCCCTTGCTTCAGTCATACTGCATCCTCCAGAGCTGATGAACTGATGGTCTTGATGATACTGTTTCTTCTTAGGTCTCGTTTCATCGTTTCACAATTCAGGTGTGCCGCCATGGATCAGCACCGTATCCACCTCCCGCCTATATCACGAGGTGATGTTCTGATGCCACGATCTCCATAATGGAGAAATGGCGACGACTGAACGTCATGTTGCTGGTGAAGGTCTTTACCAAGTGTCCTCAGGGTATGGGGCGTAATTTCATCATATGTCTCTCACTGTATACCGCACGATAATGGCTTACATATGCTCGTGGGGGCGGTCGGGTAGCCCAGTGGTTAAAGCTTTCTCTCGTCACGCCGAAGACCCGAGTTCGATTCCCGACACGGGTTCAATGTGTGAAGCCCAATTCTGGTGTCCCCCGACGTGATTTTGCTGGAATATTGCTAAAAGCGGCGTAAAACCATACTCACTCACTCACTACACATGCTCGTGACAATGAGTTTGTCTTGACGAGCCTGACTCATCATGAATTGACAGATGCAAACATCGCTGGTTTATGGGAGTTCATGTATATATCTCTGCCATATACAAGAGTATACACAACATAGAGCTTGTGACAACCCTCTGGGTCAGCTTCAAACAGCAATTCCTTCCATGTGAAGCTTAGAACTTATCATTCAACTTTCCTAATTTATATTTCCCAATATTTATTATAATATTTTCTCTGGCAATGGTTTCTACTTACGGCTGTGTGTTGATGAGGACTGAAATCGTGGTGTTATCTATATCTCCGGACCCGCTGTAGTATAAACATAGTATTTTGCCACTGCATCGATACCTGTGAAGATCGGGGTAAGATAGGTTTTCAGCAACCCATACTTGCCGTAAAAGGCGACTATGCTTGTCGTTAGAGGCAACTATCGGGATCGGGTGATCACGCTCGCTGATTTTGTTGATGCATGTCATCGTATCTCAATTGCGTGGATCGATGTTCATGATGCCATTCACTGGATTGTCTGGTCCAGATTTGATTATTGACAGACCGCCGTCATATATGTAGGTGAAATATTTCTGAGTGCGGCGTTAAACAACAAACAATGCAAACACTGAAAAATGCAAGATTGAAGGTGATAAAACCAATGGTTTAGCCCATGCACGTGTAAAACATGACAAGTTACAGTTAATGTGGGTATCAAATGGTTCATTCCAGATGCAACTGAACTGCACTCTTGGAAGTTGAAAATGCGACGTGAGATCTCTTGTTATCTGTGTTACCCCTCAATCATGGCACCGAGTATATGGAGCTTGACATCAGCTCTCGATGGGAAGCGGGGTGCATGGAATGCTATGTTCTTGTACGCCCCTCGGCGTCCGGTCTACGGTCTACAAGCCCATCCCGCACTCTATAGATACATGTAGATTACAATATGACGAACAAAACGTATGTGTTGCGGTCTAAAGACAAATGTTTCTTTACAGTTGAAGACAAATTATGCTGTTCCTCCCGGAGGAATGAAAAGAACCAAGGTATAAGAGGCAATATTATCAATGGTCCTAGTGTAGTTTTTGTTCTTCTCATCCGAGTGGCGCTTGTTTTGTGTCTTCCCCTTTCCTGCTTACTAGTTTATTCTGTGTGTTATTTTTAACACCTACTTAAAATCGAAATTATTTCAGCACATTCACGTGTATAAATATTCTCAGATTGTCAAGAGCATCTTCCCGGGGTGGGAGTGTCCACTAGGCTATATCAGCCTAGTTTCTGCAAGGCTTTGATACAGGATGTGGACACGCTTGCCTAAGGAAGATATATCAAGAGAGGATGATTGACAATTAAATACACTACAGGATGACAGGATAGGCTAACACCTTACAGACTGCTTGACTCAGCTCGCGCAATATTGTTACTCCTAGCTTCCATAATGTTGCATCTTCTAATGTCTAATGATTTGTATGGTTGTAAATAGGTTTTTAGAGGAATATCAAGGAAAGGAGTGAACGAGTGCATCTACCTGAACGCCGCATTTAGCATTGTTCACGCTCTATCACGATTATGTATAACGGTATGTCGCGATTCCTTTGCATATTTGATATAGGACCTAGGAGCTAAATGAGACAATTCCTTCTTTATACGATTATTCTCTAAAATTTATTTGAAACAAAAAGGTAAAGCTTTCTGTTTTTTTAGAATTTGAGGCCACATTGCCGAGATTGCAATTTATATAAACATATTTTGGACAAGTTTTAACAGCAATTATCATAAAGTGTATATTTTCATTCATGTAAGTTTATTTTTAAGTACAAGGCAATATCTTTCAATCTGTATGTTTTTGTTGAAGACATCACTTCCGGTTTGGGCGGGAAGGGTAGTTGTGGTCATAATTCGGGATAAACTTATTGCTACTTTCTGTATAATGTGGGCAAACCAGAAGAAAATGGTACAGATCTTCGATAACCATATAATCACAGTTTTGACAATTAATATATTTTGGTCTACATCAACTTTGCTATAACACATTTTTCGTATTTTTAAATTATGGGCAAGGATATGAAATGAAATGAGAATATGTGCCAAATCGTTTTCTATCAAAGGTGATATAAGATACAATTCTGAAGCAAGCACAAATATCTCGGAATTATAATGAGACAGAAACGATGTATTACCAGTTTTTCATTCCTAAATCTTTACATCGTTGCTTAAACATACGAACAAACTGTTTCATGTCGCAACAATCCTGGGTAATCCAAACATAGGTTTCAGTTTCAGGTTATTATTCTCAGGGAAACCACCACCGGGGGGACATGGACATTTACAGCCATATATATAAATATATACATAGACGTACAATATATCTTGACAGATTTCTTATATCTTTTAGCCTTTTGGGTGATACCGTTCTACAGAGTTTTAAAATATTTGGCCACAGGTAGTATTTTTTTTGGATATACCAAATTCTTAGTTGGAGTAGAGCTTCGCATCTGAAAAGATAGTGAAACTCATCTCAAACCGAAAGTGAATCACAGAGTTGACAAAGTCTTTCTTCTCTTGGTATATTCTGCCATCGGCCAGTCTGAACGGGCAAGTCGTGATTTGAATTACGAAATTTTAATATCGGCATGTAGTTGCCTTTAGGAAGTAACAGATAGTTTTCAAAATTTGAGTTTTGCTTATAGTGTTTATAGTATATACCCTTCGGACTCGACTCCATACTTTCCCTCCACTTCTGTATAAACTGATCCTTAAGTATCTGTTCGACCGTTGAGACTAGCCAATTTGTAGAGCATATGTATGGTTTATGAAATATTTCACTTAGTCCGACATAATTTAGTATCTTTTGAACACACATAATCCATGGAAAATTTGTTTTGTATTCCGCTGGCTTTGAGATAATGTAGCGGTACAGAAATATGATATTTTTTTATGCCACTTTGGCAATTCAATTTGTGCCAATAAGCTATTATACGTTTAAACAGTTTAATATATATTGGTTCCCTGTTAAGTTCTCCATATACCATATAATTTGGCGTTGAGTTTCTTAATCCGGCTGCAAGTTTCAAGAATTTTACTTGTATTTTTTCTATTACTTCTAACTTTTCAAAACCCCATACATCTGAACAATATAAAAGGATTGGAGCAACCATGATATCAAAAGCAGTTAGGAGACAATCGAGTGGTAGATTTACACTTCTAGCTCTTTTTAATAGGCAGTTCATAGCTTTCGTTTCACTTTAATCAGAGCTTTTATTCCCATAACAAATATTCTGTTTCTATGGAATTTTATTCCTAGGTATGTATAAGTATCTACTATTTCCAGAGGCCGTTTATTTAGAACAAATATATTTTTGGAAGATTTAGCCGGACCTCCAAGAATCAAAATCTTGTTTTTTTTATATATTTACGTTTAGTTTCCACCTTATACAGTAATTTTGAAACACATCTAATGAATATTGTAGACCTTTGGGGGTTTCGCTAAAAAGTACAGTGTCGTCTGCATATAGGAGTACTATCAAATGTATCCAGATCTGAGTCTCATTCTCCGTTAAGCAGTCGATATTTATTCCTACGCATTCGTTATCGATTAAAAGGATTCCAGGTCATTAAGTAGGATAGAAAACAAAACGGGTGACAGATTTTCCCCTTGTCGTACACCTCACTCACATGGAAAATACTCAGATAATGTATTATTTGATTTTACCAATGATTTTATGTTCATATACATATTTTTGACCAAATTGAAGAATCTACCCTTTATGCCTGTTTTTAGCATTTTGGTCCAAAGACCAGTTCTCCAGACAGTGTCAAATGCTTTTGTGAAGTCTATAAAGGCACAGTAGAGTTTTTTCTTTTGTGTTTTTAATAACTGTGTTAACATATGAATAACAAATACATTATCTGCAGTTGAAAACATTCTTTCTGAAGCCAGCTAGCGCTGATGTTTAAAGATCGTTTTCTTCTAAAAATAGTTTTAATAGCTCATTTAGAATACTTGTAAACAATTTACCAAAGCAACTCAGCAATGTTATCGATCTATACGAATTTGGGTCATATGGATCACCTTTCTGTTTGTAAATTGGTTTTATTATTCCTGTTAACCATGCTTCAGGATAATACCAGAGGCGAGTACTAAATTAAAGAATTCAGTATATAAAGGGGCTAATAAATCGACACTGTCAATGATATAGTCGTTTTCTACGTTATCTAGACTTGCTGCTTTGTTCCGTATTAGTTTCGTTGCTGCCTTTATAATTTCATCAGTATTGATATCATCATTCAAAACACTGCAGTCACTTACATTCCCATCTAAAATATATTCATTAAAATCATCTTCGTTTTGTTTAGGGTTCTGGTTTATTTATTTTTTAAATTCAAAGAAACTAGCAATATCCGGTATATTTTTCTTTATTGTTATACGTTGTTTATTTAATATTTTCCAAAATTCTTTTGGCGATTGTTTGATATTTTTGCGAAAAGCGTCGGTCAGTTGGTTATTATAATTTCGTATATGTTTGTCCATTCATTTTTATATGCCTTCTAATGCTGTCGGTAAACACTTTTAATTCTTACTGTATTGTTTCTTAAAAGCTTTGTTAAACATTTTTCTTGCCTTTTTGCATTCATTTCCGAACCATAGTTTATCAGTTTTACTAACTTCGCCACCACAACTTCTCACACCAAATGCCGCACGTGCAGCGTCAGTTAGCACGTGCGCTATGGGCGCTGCGTTGGCTAACTGGATGAGTTTATTTATTTGTTCAACATTTATATTTTGGCAGAATAAGTCAGTTTTGTTGCTGTCGTAACGTTTTGGTTTATTCATTTCCTTATGTATGTTATTCGGTTGAGGGGAGTCCAGGTTTTCTAAGTTAGGTTTTGTCACAGTTAGAGAGAATGTGAGTGACAAATGTACATCCGAGAATAAGGGAGAGAACTCCTGTATATCAAATGTTATAAAAAAAGCAATGACATAATCATTTACAGTTTTGTCCTTACATGTTGTTTTTCCAATACGTCTATCCGTACCCAGTCGTCCATTTCCTATATATAAATTCAGATTTTTACAAATATCAATCAGTTTATTCCCGAAGTTATTTATCTTGATTCTATCCTGTGTACCCCTCACCCTTGACAAATTCAAGTCTTCCAGTATAGATTCAGGCTCATTTTCTTTTCTTATCTCATTTACATCTAGATCAAATTCATCAATTATGTATTCATCATAAACATTATAATCACATAAATCACTTGTTCTTGCATTAAAATCGCCGATTATTGTAACATAATCAATATTTGAGAATACCTCAAGTATAGATTTTTCAATTTCAAAGAATGTATCAGCAGTAACATATTTGACCCCTCGGGGGAGATGTAGGCATTGCCTAGGTAGAAATCCTGGTCCAAGTTAAATAATTTTCTGAAGATTTTAATCCATTGAATATGCTCACATTTGACCTCAGTAGGAGTAATATAGTTTACATATATATTTCTATTTGCAATACCTAACCCCCCTGATTTTCTCAGAGCCCCTGATCTATTTTGAAGAAATAGAGTATATCCATCAATTTGTAAGTCATCCAAGGAATCAGTTTTTGTTTCTTGAAGGCATATTATGTCTCTACTTTTAAGCAAGTTATTAAATTCTTTGTAGTCTAATCGTTTTCTAGGTCCACACACATTTAAGCTTAGGAATCTTAACTTAATAATAATAATATCATCATCATCATCATCATCATCATCATCATCATCACCACCTCCACCTCCATGATTTGCATCATTAGTATTATCGTTATCACCAGCATTGTCTACTCGGAAAACAAGTCTCTGCTATGTTAATATATTTAGCAATATCATTGGCCCTATTATTTACCTGCTTGTTTATGCAGTCACTATTTGGGGGGTGATCAGTAGGAACCTCAGACATATGCAAAGCTGAATTTGCTGAAAACATATTACTTTTGATGAGAGTGACTATACCATTTATAACATCAGGGGGTGATATAATAGGGTACATTTTCAACACATCATTATCAACCTGATTTGCATCATTTGTATTACTATTATCACCAGTATAATCTCCTAGGGGAGAATGCAATTCTCTGCAATGTGTTCAGTGAGAGACTCGGGCATATTAAAAATAGATTTTGTTTGTAATAAATTATTTTGGATAAGATTGACTGTGTCATTTGTAACATCAGGGGATGGTATATTAGAGTCACATTTCAACATATCATCAACATCAACAACATCATCAACGTCATCAGCATCAGCATCAGCATCAGCATCATCGCCATCCCTGGCATTAACATAAACCTGATTTGCATAATTAGTATTAACATTTCACAAGTATTAACTCCTAGGGAAGATTCACCTTTTGGAAAACGATTCTCTACCATGTTACTATGTTTTGCAATATCATATTTGGATAATATTGACTGTGTCATATGTAACATCAGAGGATGGTATATTAGAGTCACATTTCAACATATCATCATCAATATCATCATCATCATCATCATCATCATCATCATCATCATCATCATCATCATCCCAGGCATTAGCATCAACCTCATTTGCATAATTTGTATTACCATTTCCACCAGTATTATCTGCTAGGGAAGATTCACTTTCTGGAATACAATTCTCTGCAATGTTATTATGTTTAGCAATATCATTGGTCTTATTATTTACATGCTTGTTTATGCAGTTAATTTTTGGGGCGTGATCAAAAGGAAACTCAGACATATGAAATGTAGATTTTGTTGCAAGTAAATTATTTTGGATAGGAGTGACTGAACCATTTGTTACATCAGAGGATGATGAAATAGAGTCACATTTCAACACATCATCATCATCAACATCATCATCAACCTGATTTGCATCAATAGTATTACTATTATTACCAGTGTTTTCTCCTGGGGAATATTCACATTCTGGAATACAATTCTCTGCAATGTTATTATGTTAGGAATATCATTGTCCCTATCAATTATCTGCTTGTTTATGCAGTCAATTGTTTGGGAGTTATCAGATTGAGCCTCACACATATGAAAAGTAGATTTTTCTAAAAATATATCACTTTGAATGAGAGTAACTGTACCATTTTTTACACCAGAGGGCGATATAAAGGGTCAATTTTCAACACATCATCATGGGTACATTCGACAACAGACTTGCAATCCTTAGGTAGATCTGAAACATGAAGAAGATTATAGTTGTCAGTACATGAGTTATTAATAGACAAAGTTCTGTTGTGAACAACAGAAGCAGCTGAGTTATGAGATTGTTCTGAAAGTTTAGTCCTATTGCTATATCTAGATGTTTTACCCCAGGGGCTAGAGTCTATACCAGGATCAGAGTCTGGTAAGAATGGGGTGTGAAACACACTAGAATAGTCACTCGTGAACTCGAGTCCACCGTCCCATTCCTAGGCTTGACCAGATTGTTTGCGGGGAGTCCTGTAGGGTGGCGGGGAGTCCTGTAGGGTGGCGGGGAGTCCTGTAGGGTGGTGGGGTGTCCTGTAGGGTGGTGGGGAGTCCTGTAGGGTGGCGGGGAGTCCTGTAGGGTGGTGGGGTGTGAACGTTCTGAAGCACCCTGTTGATGTACAGCTTATCAACCACAAGGTAAGCTTGCTTACCCTTCTGTCGAGCCCCTCGCAAAAGTGGCATTAGCACTCTTCAGGAAATTGCTCCACGATAGAAAAGGGTTTAGCCTTCAATTTATTTGCTGCTGCCTTCACCAAATTTCTTTCCCTGGTGTAGATAAACTTTGCTATCAGGGGCCTGACAGTATCTCCTGCATGTCTCGGGGGTCGGGGCCTGCCGATTCTGTAGACTCGTATAAATGTCATGTTTTCGGCGTCTAAATCCAGATGTTCTTGAATAAAGTCGTCGCTTTTAAACATAGCTTTGTCCGTCGTCCACGTGTCGAAACAGTCACTCATAAACTGGTTTGATTCTGCAATATCATCTAATCGCGTTCTCAATGTGTCTGTTTATTGTACTTTGTGTTCAAGTTTGGACATGTTTGTTTTGATGGAAAGCACATCTTGTTTAATTGCGTCTAGCTTTGAAAGTTTCTTGTCAATGAGATCAAGCTTAGCCAAATTGGCTGACGTATCTGGGCTCTGAGGTCGGGGTATTTGGGATGACATGTAGGGACTGGCAAACGATTGAAACTGACCTTGGTTTGGTGTAAATTCTTGTTGGTGATGAACTTGAGGTGAGTAGACTGTCTCAAGAGATTGTCTCACGGCGTTAGCTGCGTCCATCTCGGCAGTTCGCTTGCTTGATGGAGTGCCCCCTGTATTCGCACACGTGTTAGGCGAGGTAGATTTTTTCTTTCTTTTTCGTGTTTTCTTTTGGCTTGATGGTGGTTTAGTCATAGCTGTTCATATCTTGCATCGGTATAGTTCTTATAATGCATCCATGGAGGTGGTATTAGATGAAAGTCAAATGAAATGTGAGAGAGCAGTGAGAGAGCTGATTCGTAACACATGCTTCCGCTCTAGCCATGGCGCAAGCCGGTCTGAAACACAACGTAGTGCTGACACGATGAACCCAATTTATACCATCGTGATCATGTGATTTCAGCATAGTGTAACAAGCATGGAGATAGCATGGGAATGCATACGAATGATGCTACACCAATAGCATATACATTTAGTTAAATAGTGCGCACATAAATAATACCTGCCCGCTTCTCCCAGAACGGCATGTGTGGAACCACGGACCTATATAACCGGTTATACAAGTCCATGGTGGAACCAAAATATAGTGCTGGCACAGGTTGGAAACTCATCTAATCAAGTGTTATTATTCCAATATGCATACTCACTGCGACTTTCAAATAGGTAGCTTGCTTATCTTCGAGTGGGAAATTTCTATTCTATTATTGGATAGCTTGTCCTGGTTATGCTCATGAGTGTAAATGGGATAATATTAAGAATCCACTTAATCAAAGTGACATATGTTCCTACGCCCTGTTTGTTGTAGTTCAGCTCGTGCAGGAAATAGGTTAAAGTGTGGTATTGTCATGGCCTGGTTGTTTCATTATGATTGTTGAAATGAAGTGTTTTAAGTGTATCCCTACTCTGTTTAATCAGCCTGTGGCCTCACGACATCTATTTAATCGCTTCTGTCGTTTATTCGTGTTAACACCATTTCGATTTCCCTCACGCTTGTATTATGACGTCATATTGTAAGTTGTAGCAGGATCACGAGGGGGCATGGTGTTTTATGCGTCCCGCGATAGGTTTTTTACCACGAGCTGGAGGCGAGGGACGCCGGGAAATTTATTCCCCTCCAAGGCGGGTAACACAGTATTTTATCAAGATCACCTGGACCAATCAGATCTCAACATTCTGACATGGAGGTATGATAAATTATTCTATCAAGATCTCCTGGACAAGTGAGATCTCATCATTCTGACGTGGGGGTATGATAAAGTATTCTATCAAGATCACCTGGACCAATCAGATCTCATCATTCTGACATGGAGGTATGATAGAGTATTCTATCAAGATCACCTGGACAAGTGAGATCTCATCATTCTGACATGGAGGTATGATAAAGTATTCTATCAAGATCACCTGGACACGTGAGATCTCATCATCCTGCATTCTGACATGGGGGTATGATAAAGTATTCTATCAAGATCACCTGGACCAATCAGATCTCATCATTCTGACATGGAGGTATGATAAAGTATTTTATCAAGATCACGTGGACCAATCAGATTTAATCATTCTGGCATGGAGGTATAATAACGTTCATTGTCACACCAGAAAACATAAAATATCTCGCTTCTTTAATGATTATGGGTTAAACGGGTACTTGTTGCCCAAACAATGGCATAGTATTACATTAACCTGTTACATATCCAAGTCAAACGTTAATCATAAGGGTTAAAATACGTCAGCTCGTTTAGCAGAGGAAACAAAGGTGAGCGTTATATATGACGTATGGTCAGTGTTCGACTCACGTGGCAGATGTACATTCGTCTGAGCAGTGACACACACACACACACACACACACACACACACACACACACACACACACACACACACACACACACACACACACACACATTAAATGGTTGCTCTGTTCAACAGCCGCGTTCTCAGTCTGACGCCTGTCATCAAACCGACCCATACGTTGTCTTCTGTCAGTTACATGCCCACAAGCAAAACCTCGTTAACTCGAAGAAAATAAGTAACCCGTAGTTCGGGACAAGAGAGGGACCGTTGACATTAGTGCATACCATCGTCTTGAACAAGATGTGGATGTAAATGAGTTCGAGTTAAAGAGGGGACATGAGTGGCTAAGCCGCCTAAATTCTCTTTGCAGAGTTGCGTACCTTTTGTGTGCCAGAATCCTATGATTGTGGGTTCGAATACCAGATTCAGCCTGATTATGTATCTTGGTTTACCAGCACAATACCCATGGTGGTGGGTTTCACCAAAATGGGTGACGTCTATGTACACGCAGTGATTTAACTGTTGAAGCCGCGTTACACCTAACTCACTCTCACTCGAGCTAATTAGGTTTCACTGTGTTCCTAAAGTGAGTGCGTTAGTAGACTTTTGCGAATTCATAAAGCAAATAATATTTATATTTATATTTGTTCTTATTACATAATTGTAATCATCTATCCTTGTGATTCTCCAGTGACTTACACACATCGTGCACGTGTTTCAGGTCGCAGATGAGAAATCAATAGTTCAGAGAACATGGAATAAAGTGAAAAAGATAGGCAGAAAGAAGAAAACAGTTTCTTTCGATGACGTCGTTCCCAAGGGTGAGGCCGGGAGCGATGACGCCGACTCCGACGGGCCTGACTACGACTACATCGACGACGAAGTACTACGCGAACACATGAAGGCGATTGAAAAACAAGCCAGAGCCAAGGAGGAAACGAAACTGAAAGGCGGAATCTCTGCAAGCCAGAAGCCGGTCCAAAGGGTGCTCCCAAACGCTCACAAAGATCCAGCACAGGGTAAGGCTTCCACATCTCTTGAAGTTCTCAGCATCAGTGAACTTGAGGAGTTGCTGCGGTCTTGCGGTATGCAGGACCTAGCTAAGGTCTGCCGGCAAGAGAACTTGGATGGTTGCCTTTTCTGTTGCCTCTCGGATAAACTTCTAAAAGCAAGACCATTCAAACTGGACGACTACCGCATACAAAAACTGAATTTGATTAAGACCGGGTGGAGACCGAAGACGTAGAAACGAACAGCTCATTGCAGTATGGACAGGGAGCGCCATTGACAAAGACACGTGGACTCAACATTCGGGTCCTCTTGCCTCGAACAGAACAGGAGTTCACTTTAAACTGAAAACCCACCGATCACATTCATATATACTGAACAAAAAAAGTTAGGGATCATCAATATTTTGGGGAATATTTTTTGTAGTGAAGACTGAGCACACACTTTCATGAATATATCCTAAAACATATGCATCATCCCTAACGTTGTTGGTTCGGTGTAGTTCGTACAACAGAGAAACATTATTGTTTGTAAATAGAATCCAACCAATGCAGGCCGAGATTACATATAGGACTGGTGTGAGCCGAGTAGTCACCATTAGAACAGATGTAACCATTTGACTTGAAGTTCAAAACAACATTTTTGTCTTTCATTAGAGCCCAATTGTTATCGGTGGATTATTATTATTATTATTATTATTATTATTATTATTATTATTATTATTAAGTGGTTTGGCAGCAATATTGAATTCATGCTTTTCAGGGTGCAATTTACTTTGTTTTGGTACCTTTTTTGAAACCCTACCATTGTAATTGCACTGTTTATTATTGTTTATTATCTGTGAGCATCAGATTCCCCTTCTTTCGGACTACTGAAAATGTTACATCTCTGATTCCGTGACATCTCTGCTCTCTTCTGCGTTTCCGTTCTTGTGTCAAAAGCGTACGTCTTCTAGGTCTCAAATAGACTGCACCTGCAACTCAGAGGGTCCGATAGTGCCTAATTTGGGAATGTGTATGTAGTCTACTATTATTGAGTCAAATCCATATCTCTCAAGGCTAAGAGGAAAAATGAAAACATAATCAATTTAAAACAACATATCTAAACCTATTGTTTCTCGACCGCTCATCAAACTTATGTCAAACATGCTAATGTCAAACATGCAGTTTTTAGTATCATCAGGTGCCAGTCACCTTTTGTATTTTGACACATTGATTTTTTTCAATATGTCATTTGGTGGACAAACCTCACACCAGAACCTCCGTTGATGTAAGGGCAGTTAGTGGATCTATTTCACATATTTTATTTATGCTTCTTATTGTAAAACACCGCTCACTGCCTTTGCCGCCTAAGGAGGATTAGGGACATCTTCTAGAATAATTTGACTTGCCTTTGCGTGTGTTTGTGACGGGTGCCATGAGTGGGGCAGAATAAGGTTATCTTTTAGCGAACACCTGGCATCATCACTATTTGATAGTGATTCATAAACGGATGATTATTATATTGTCGGAATCAAACACGAATGATACATGTTTCCACATGATTATAGATGGGTTTCGTCGCCTTTATGTACAAACAGACCAAAGACCTAACTACACTTTCTGGTTTAAAGTAACAGATTTTGTAGGTATGTTTATGAGATACGACAATGACCATTTTGTTTCAGTTATCTGTATCAACCAAAGAGAGATGCCGTGAGTGGACCTCCACGTATGTCAACTTGGACACTCCAATAAATGTTAGTGTAGCTTGAAGTCCCATATTAATGCTTGTAGCTATATTTCAACTTTGCCATTGTTTTCCCTTACCAACTCAACTTTTAAGAATTAAATTAAAAAGCAACATTTTTTATATTGACAAAAACGTGAAACAACCTCCTAACATATAAAATAGTACGTTTGTTTTCAATACGTTCATTCAAGGCCAAATTCAATTCGAGGTTGAAAATATTTCATTATGACAGAAGTATTCTTATGTCTTGCTTTAGTCATTTTTATGTTGTTGTTTTCGCCTGGTGTGTGTGGGAGCAGATTAAATATTTAAAAAAAACATGTGCTATGGCTCTTATGTTCTGAATATGTTGTCACGTGAGCAGTACTCAGTTTACCTCATCTCAATGGTGTTGTAGTTCAACCTTACTGTGTGATCCATTTCTGAGAACATTTAACTTTGCATTCTGCGGAATAAATAAGTGCTATTCCGATTATATTAATTTCCTAATTTCATTATTTTTAGCAAAAGCCTCGGCATATTGCAAGAGTTATGTTTTTGCCCTGCGGGCAATCCGTTGGTATGAATCATTGGACAAACATATTGTGAACTAGTCAACAATACAATATACAATTAATAGAACAGTCGCCTTCTCCATTAAGGGATATTTTGTAATAAACTCAAAGGATAAAGAATGCATACACCCACGTTTGATTTTGGCTTAAAATAAAAGAAACAAGTAGTGGTTATTGGAGGGTGATATATTTGATACAGGTATCCTAGGTGTGTGGTGGACCTTAGGTTTCCAGTGCTTCGGTGACCACTAACGTTTTGATAACGTCTGTAAATCTTTGGTCAATCAAATTTTAAAGAGCACACTTTCTTATGCCTGGCAGTTAAGTTCGTTTATCATTTTCACATTATGTAGTATGATTTTATTAACCTGTTGTAGTTTTTTTTCTAGTTTGTTGTTCGTAAACGAATACGGAGTTCATGTTTTCTATTTTAGATAGCATAACGCCATATCCCCTATAAAAGTATCCAGATATGTGTATAAATAACTGTTGTTGTATTGTATAAATGTTCCAAAGTTATCAGGTTATCGTTTACATCATGCAAGAAGATTAATGTGATTGCATGTTTGTATTGTATACATTAAAATTATATTTATGTATCCTAGTTTCCAGACATTGTATCGTTGGTAATTTTGTTTGTTTCATTACAACGGGTAATGTATTGACTCTGAAAACAGGTTTGACTTGGAATAGATTTTGTACCCAGATATGATTTTTCTCAATTGTTCTTATTTTTATAATTTACATTCCAAGGAAATGGGTATAAAACAACCCTAAAATCAAGTATGATTTGTTTTTAAACTTTACGACACGTGAAATGGTTAAATGGCAGAGCCGTTAAGGCATTCACGAGTCTAGCATTCGGGTAGTTGAAGGGAGATAACCGACTTGGAATACAGCTTTGTATATTAACTTATTACCTTTATGGACAATACAGTAGCACTTCGTTGTCTGGGAACATACCTTTCTGAAATATATCGAAACGACATTTGGATTTCCACAATACAATGCAACAACTTCTACTAAGATAGTGATAAAGTCATCTAGACAATCATTCATCTTCGTAACTCTAGGGTGTTTTATCTCGACCTTATAGAGGGAACAGTACCTGCATCCTGTGATACCGGTGCCCGGATAGTCTGAGAGTGCATGGTATACATGCTTAGCGTTGTGTATTATAACACGTTTTGTCAAATATGAAACTTGACACCATGTATCGCCTAGTTTCAGTGTTACAGATTGTCCCACTCCCTAACTATTTGATTTTATTGATGTTTACTTTTTTTAAATGATATTGTTAACTACATGCAATATGCAATGTGGAATAATCTATAGCATCATGAGCCAAGCTTACAGCAATTCCGTTACAATGCTATAATTCCTATATAATTGCGGGACAAAAAAAGACATACACATACACTTTATATTGGTAAAAATGAAACACACAAGAAGTGCTTATTCGATGGTGATGTACGCGCATCACAGTCGTGCTTTGGACCTCATATTTGCAGTGTTTCGGCGTCAATGTTTTGTTGTTGTGAATCCAATGTTCAACTGTATACTTTCTTACATTTATATATATGTTTTCTGTTATAAACAGTTAAGTACGTTTATAACGAACTGACGGATATAACGAATTTATTTTTGGTCCTGGCCATTTGCTGTGTATGTGCTGTGCATATGCTTATTACGAACTGCGGTCATAACGAACTAAAGTTAGTATTCCATTTGGGTTCGTTATAGCCGTAGTTCACTGTATTGCTTTCTGTGATTGATCTCGTCGACTTGATGGTGTGTCATGGAGATCTGGGGTTCAAAGTTATCTCTTGATGTAAATATTCTTTTAAACATACAAGGAAACCAACTTCCACTCTTCTCCATCCTCGTAGTGTCTGCAGGTTTTTCTCCTTTTAACCTCGGCCTCGACATGTAGCCACGTTGAAGATAAGGCCTCTCTTGAGGTTATTCATGTCTCTTTATGACCAGCAAAAAAACATTGTTTCTTTTTTCTGACAATTATAATGCTTTGTTCCTTTCTGAGAATATATACATTATTGCTTCTGATAATCATAAATACAATATTGCTTCTTTCTGACAATAATGAACGCATTCTTTTTCTAACATTTTATTAATTCATAATAGTTTTTTTAATTATAATGCATTATTGTTTTTTCCGATTAAATACATTGTCTGTTCTAACAATTATTAATGAATTATTGTTTTCTTTCTGACAATTAAAATGCATTATTGTTCCTGCCAATTACATGTGCATTAACTGTTCTATCTTACAAGCAAAATGCATTCAGTTTTCTATCTTTATAGAAACAATGAATATTTAGTGTAACTGGTGACTAATTATTAATTGTTCTATCATTTTAGTAGAGCCACAAGTCCCATATTAACTACTAATAATGCAGACCACGGTGCGGGTGATCGCTGGGTGGAATTAGACCATTTCGCCCCTTCTATGCAATGATATATCCATCTAAACGTGTGTTAAAGGATGGCGAGAACCACTGGGTGACAGTCAATATAAAATTCCATTCATTAAAATCAGATCTTTTACTCCGATACGATACCTCTCTACATTAGAGGTCGCGTCAGGAGCAAGTTCTGATCTGATATTTGAGGCTTCTAAATTCTCGGTACGAATTAGCGAATCATTTAGACCAGCATATCTGATTTCTGTATCCCGAAAACGCACTAAACCACAAGTTCCGAATGTAGATGCCGCGCCATTGTTGTGGACGGCGTTCTGTACATCACGTTATGTCTGACATCTACACCCAAACGAACGTGCCAGCAAGCAATATCTGTGCTCAGTTTGGGTTTTCTTTTGTTCAAAAAGAAATTTCCGAATTGAGGTAAAGAAATGAAGTCGGATTATTTTAGAAGATATAATACACTTGATAATCGAGGATGACGCTCGAGGATTGTTTATACAAATTCGCCCAAAGTCAATGTCAAGTGCTTTACCTTGCAAGAACCTGACATAGTGGTCCGTGCCAACCCCCTTTTGGTACGAAAGATAGCGACCTCTGTTAAGTGGTATTCCGGATGCAGCAGGTCAGTATGGGATGCCAGTATTTCAGTGTGGGGGTGGCGCCTCATATGTGACCATACCTTAAGCGCTTCAGATTAATTACATTTAGATAGTGTTGTTGTTTTTAAGCTATTCCTTGCAGTTCGAAATATATATTGGGCTATTCATTCAATGTTCAGTGCTTTATTGAGCGGTGAGATACAAGGGCTTATAATAAAACCATGGACACTTAATACGATCTATATTTAGGGTCCATGGTAAAACGGTTTCTTTCTTTTGAAAGGAAGATATATGAATAAAGCTATTTTTATTAATTGTGTATTTGTTTCATGTTTTAGTCAATAATTCTGCTATTTAGCTGCGGCGGATGTTGTTTACAGTCACAGTCAGCAATAATGTAGCGTCCTGTAAATAATCTGGTCTGGACCAGACAACCCAGTGGTTGACATCATGAGCAACGATCCGAGCCATCAGCCCTTTGACATGACATCAGTGGGGTGAGGTGAAGGTGAAAAGGGGTTTAGTGTGTGTGTGGGTGTGTGTGCGTGGTTGCGTATGTTCGGACTAATGCCGATTTTAAAGTTCTAGCCTACTGATAAACCATGCCACAGTGTAACAAAAATAACCCACTCAGACGCAGTATACTGACTCCGAGCTGACCAGTCCTTGTTTTAGCCCCTTAATGCCGAGCAAGGGCAGGGTAACAGGGTAACAACAAGTACCATCTTTTAACATCTTTTGGTTTGACGCGGAGGGGGATCGAACCCAGGACCTTCCGCTCTCGTCTCCTATCATGACGACACAAGAATCTCATTCAGCACAACAAGTATCGCCTTGATTGCTGTCATGACAACACAAGGATGTCCTTGATTCCTGTCATGACAACACAAGGATGTCCTTGATTAATTTCATCATGACACAAGGATCTCCTTGATTCCTGTCCTGACAACACAAGGATCTCCTTGATGCCTGTCATCACAACACAAGGATCTCCTTGATATGTCATCATGACACAAGGGACTGCTTGACTCCTGTCATCACAGCACAAACAACACACTCGATCGGCAAGATTTATTTCTCATTTTCTTTCAAAGGTAAATCAATGAAATATGCTATCAGTTGCATTAATCAAAATAAACACACAATCTATCACACCTGGTGGCTGAGGTTCAGTCCTCCCTACTCTCCATCCTCCAAACTTCGTCCACAGCACAAACTGGACTAAAACACCATTCAACAAAATAATACAAACAATTCCACCCAATACTTCACCTCAATGACTCCAGCTGTACATGGAATGTCAAAACTCTCAACACACTTCAATGTGTAGGTAATAATCCCCTTTGGTCACAAAAAACATCATCTTCAAAATATTGGTGAATACTGCCATACAAATATGTTTTTTTCTGATAACAAATATTTAAATCTACATTGAATTTCTGTATATCTACATTTGATTTCCTGCCAACTTGTGTGGTATCTGCATCCTAAGCATCAGCAGTCAACTGTTTGTTTGTTCGTTTGTTTAACGCAGCACTCAGCAATATTCCGGCTATATCACATCAGTCTGTAAATAATCGAGTATGGACCAGACAATCCAGTGATTGATATCATGAGCATCGATCCATGCAATTGGGATATGATGGCATGCATCAACCAAGTCAGCGAGCCTGACCACCAGATCCTCTTACGACAAGCATAGCCGCCTCTTATGAGAAGCATGGGTTGCTGAAGACCAATTCTAACCCGGATGTTCATGGGTGACCAGTCAACTTGAGTCCCAACCTCACACAAGTAGACATTATTAGCTGCCATAAAACACCTGTGCTTTAGGGGGGGGGGGGGGAACTGTGTGTGTGCGCACTCAGAGGTCAAAGGTAATAGATCACTCTACCTCACCAGTCTCGTCAGTGTGTGTGTGTGTGTGTGTTTGTTTTTAAGGCTGCTCTCAGCAATATTCCAGGTATGAAACATTTAAAAAATAAAAATGAAAAAATAAAATATAATCCAACTGTATGATGGCAGTCTGTAAATAATCGAGTGAGTGGACCAGACAATCAGTGATTGATATTATGAACAATGATCTATACCGTTGACGTGCTATCAACCAAGTCTGATCCATTAAGTCATGTCTAACATTTGTTTGTTTGTTGTTTTACGCCTCACTAAGCAATATGCCAGCTATATGACGGCGGTCTGTAAATAATCAAGTCTAGACCAGACAATCCAGTGATTAATATCATGAGCATCGATCAACGCAATTGGGATCGATGACATGCATCAACCAAGTCAGCAAGCCTGACCAACCGATCCCGTTAGTCACCTCCTACGACAAGCAGTCGCCTTTTACGGCAAGCATGCACCTCTTACGACCAGCAAAGGATTATGGGACCTCTTCACCCTTCATCCCTACAGATTCGGTCTCATCAGAAAAGAATGAAAGGTTGTAATATACATTCCACACACTCACATTGGTGGGACTACCCAGGGTATCCATTGTGTATTAGGATGGTACACTTACCAAATATATAAGTCCAGTGGACAATTATAGCCCCAAACTGGCACTTAGAACAGTACATGTCCTGAGGTTTTAATAAAACACATCTAACTGATCAGAAAGTGCATTTGTTTCATGGGCCTTATAAATATAAGTTTAACCTTGATAAATACATATTTTGTTTCTGCCTGCCTACCCTAAGATTGCCCTTGACACTAATGTATATTATCTTAAAGCACTGACAAGAAATGACATTCTAGTATTCAACTTAGTTATTGTATTTGAACCTGATTCCAACTTATTTCTCCTCCATTCCTTTTCTAACGAGAAATCAATTAAATAATAATAATACATGAAATATAAAATAAACTTCAGAAAATGTCAAGAACAACACAGCTAACTGAAGTTAAAATAAAGAGTTTTGTGCATACTAAAATAAAGAGCTTTGTGCATAATAAAATAAAGAGCTTTGTGCATACTAAAATAAATAGCTTTGTGCATACTAAAATAAAGAGCTTTGTGCATACTAAAATAAAGAGCTTTGTGCATACTAAAATGTCATATTGTAACAAGGATGAAATACTCATATCCCCTGCCAATATGACATGTCTGGTTGTTTGCAAGGATTTAGCCCTCCAAGAAACAAGCACTACCACCTTTTCACTATCAAAAGGCACTAATTCACCATTGGACCTATCTATGTGCCAAGGTTGGTTAAGATATCGCTCATGGTTTTTTAGTTCTGCTCTGGAAACGAAACGTGACGGACGGACTGACAGAAGGACGGGAAGACAGAAGGATGGAAAGATGGAAGGACGGACGGACAGCACCCATTCCTATATCCCCCTTCCACTTCATGGCAGGTGATAATAAAATGCATAACTAAAAGCATATTAAAATCATACTGATATGTATTTAATTAAAGCTATACTTTCACTAGATTATGCAAACAAAACAAATATTAAAATTCTGTTATTGAATTCATCTGACCTCTGGTACTCCCACTTAATGCCAGACTAGTCCATCATCTGTGTCTGATCTTCGTTGTCAATACACCAAGAGGCAGAATGTACAATAGAAAACAATGTCTGGCAGGACTTGATGTTAACTTCCTCAATAACAATTTTCAAACAAAATAAATTTAAAAAAGGAAATTTACAAACAAATTTTAATTTATATTTATATTGCAATGAAAAGATGAATTGAGGTTGTTCCAGTTTTGCAACACAATGTTGGGTATGACTTGACTCGTTTCATACATGAGTGAATTCAACAAAGTTGCACAATGATGAAATCATATACATTCCTGAGCCAAAAAACAGAAACTGGAATAAACCAGTGTACAGACTTGTGTCATGAGGTGAATGCTGATTGGGTGCTGACATATAATTAAGCTTTTGGCCAATCAGTTGGCAACAAAGTCAGGTGACATGTCAAAATGTGTCTCCCATCACAATGTTGTCAATTACTTCGTATGAGGAGCTGCATTTCCATGGAGCTTGACAATGACCACACCTGACATATTAATAATGCTTTGAGTTGCATATTATAGACACTATTCATAAAACAATTACCATGTTTACAGTGTAAGTTATGACGTCCACCCCTGATCCTACTGGTACATATTATAGTGGCACCAGTACCAATGTATCAGCGGTTAAACAATACAATATTTCAAAAAGTAGTCTAAGAGATTAAAAATTACAAATACAAGACTAAAAATATATTTCTCTGATTTTTGCACAATATGACACATAATTTAAATGACAAAGTTTCATAAATCACAGTTGCAAATGCAAAACCCTTATGGAGTCGAAGACACTTTGGTTTTACCACAGTACTAAGGAACAAAGTACCGGGCAATCCTACCGTCAGTCATCGTCTTTAGATACTCAGTTATCTCCCTTGCCTCAGGAGGACCAATCCTATTTGCAAAATTAAGATCACTTATTGAAATGGTGCACAGATATCTTAGATTTTCATTAATAAGAGTAACTATCAGTCTTGGCATTAATGTAAAAAGCTTTAAGAGGGATTTCTGTTTTTGTCCACATTACTAAATTGTAGGGTGGGTGGATCAGAAACAAATTCATAGACAATAAACCACTTATTTTCCATGTAACAGATGACAGCAACTCGGACAAGGATTTTTACAGAGACAGGACGGGGCTTTTTGACATCCTGATTATAAAACATGAAGCATGGATGAAAATATCAGTTAAAATATAAAATCTCTACAGTAGTAATAAAACACATTGTTTATACTTCTCACACAGATCATTCATGCACTCTATCACAGTATCCGTGGTAACGAGGTCACAGACCCACTTTCAGAATTTGGTGCAGTAATTATAACAACCCTGACAGAGACGCCAACACCATCTTGAGACAATAAGGAACATCTGGGATAGCATAAATTTAGTAATTTCAAATCAGATATTAGTTCTCACTACTGCTCAACAAAGATCTGAGAACATCCTATAACAGGCCATGTCAGAATGACCTTTCACGAACTTTCACCGACCAATGAAATGACTAACAAGAAGTCAACATGAGCCAATCAGAAAGCAGCTTTCTTGAGCTATATGGCACTAGTTTCAAAATGGCAACTTTCATTCCAGTCTACGCTTTGAAGAACATTTTGACAAAACTCTTGACTCAAAATTTGAAAACTGAACAAAAGAACATTCTGGAATGTCTAATGTCTGATTGTATGGCAGTCCTTCCCAAGGTCAAAGTCCCCTCCGTTCCAATGTTTATCCTTTCGAAGTGAGAGATAGATAATGATTTTGAAGGAATCAGTTTACAGCCTGTAAATACGATTCGGAATATCCCATGTTAACCTTCTCAAGATGTCATGATTCGGAAACAAATTCCGACTGTAACTTTCCTGATCTGGTAAGCAACGCTCTGATTGGTTGGATGAAAGGTCATTCTGACGTGACCCATAAAGTGATGTCCTCAGATCTTTGTTTAGTGGTAACGAGAACTATTATCTGATTTTAAGGATATTGTTTTATCACCCAAACTCCTAACTATCTGTAAACCTTCCCACCTCAAGGTAGAATAATTCGTAATTGGTAGTAAATGGAACATTGCTTGTACTGAGGGCAATAACCAGTATCTATTACACACAAAGTTCTCTGTAAAACATTTCACTGTATTTCACTGAATGCTATTGGCAGAATTTGGCAAGAAATATCTTATGATTCTGCTAGAGCTGGGACGAGTGTAAATTTACCCGCCACCCTATTACCCAGCCCTACCTGGATACCCACTAAAGCTCTCAAGAATATGGTACGAAATGTCCGAATGGGAATTGTTTTACCGCTGTCCTGGCAAAAACTATTTAGATACATGGATAAAACAATCTGATCATGTATACACTGAAGATGATGGACGCTTTTTCCTTAATCAAACATATAAAAGTCAGAACAAATGATGGCATAGTCAGAAAGAAATGTGATCATTAGCTGTACTTGTAGTGTAACCATAGAGTTTTATTGTTAATGTCATTAGACATATCACATGACTAACCACGGGTCTGGGTAGTCGTGTGGGTACCCGGGTCCTACTCAGGACCCACCCGGGTTACCCGTCCCAGCCCTAGATTCTGTCCAAATGGAGCTGTTTCCTCAGCTGTGGTTGTTACACTGTTTAGCTGAGTGTCGGTAGTAGGACCAACAGCCAGCTCTCAACCAAGTAAAGCCAGTCTCCTACTAGATACACACTCCGGCAGATGGTACATGACTAGATAGACACTTATATCAACTTGGTAAACTTGGTCCCTTCCTTGCCACTAGTCTCAGGTCTTGTCCGGCCTTTTTAGCTACCATCTTGTCGTCGGCGTACTGTTGTAGGGCAATATGCCGGGAACGGGGATCCTCTGCAGGCAGTGGCTTACAGTTGCAGCTGGCTCGTAGCTTTATTGCCTTCAGAGAAAATGCAATATTATAGCACATATGACAGACAAGATTCCAATATGATGACCATTCACTAACTGTAACCAGGCTTATTAATCAATACTTTCAATCGATAAAATCAATGAAATAGAAAATATAGCCACAGGGCTCTGAAGCTCATCCGGAATATGAGGAATTAATGGCCGCCATGTTTAAAATCCGAACGGAATTCTGTGAACAAATTTTAGAGACACCCAAAACAATATCGTATGTTATCACATATTTACTGCTTATCAAATTACAGAATGATACATGCAGAAATGGCTGAGTAAAGGGAAAAACTAACATTTTCAACATGGCGGGCTTGTTTAAAATCAGATCAGAATTCTGTGAGCACATTTCAGAGTCACCAGAGCTGGGATCATTCATAAAAAGTTACAGCTTCAGGGCCTTGTTGTTTCATAGGCCTTGTTTCGAATATGTAAAACTTGTGACAGACAATACGCCACGATAGATCTGGGATGAGTCCAAATTTACGACCCAGGTACCTGATACCCAATTACCTGGCCCTACCCAGGTACCTGATACCCCATTACCTGGCCCTACCAAGGTACCTGATACCCAATTACCTGGCCCTACCCAGGTACCTGCTGCAGGTCTCAAGAGCTAGGTACAATAAGTGCAATTGGGAATTGTTTTACCAGAGGCCTGGCAAATAGCAGAAAGAAATGCAAACATTTTTTACTTGTACTGCAGCCATAGCAAATTTTTGTCATTTAATAATCGACTAGTATGGCGTGACTGAGCACCTACTGGTATCTATGTCCTACTCAGCACCCACCCCTACCAGAGTACTCGAGTTACCAGCCCTGTGCCACGACATAAGCTCACATTAACTTTCAGTCATGTGCACTAAAGAAATTCCTGAAAGACAAGAAAGTATTGCTATGTTGTAAACTTTCCTCCTGGGATACAAACTCTGTTTGTCAAACGATCCGCCGACCTATTTAATTGAATCAGAAGGTTGTTACAAATGAAAATTTGGCTGGGTGTTGTCATATTTGAGACAGCATGCAAAAGTCAAGTCAAGTCTTGACATCACCTGATATCCCCCTTCGCTTCAATCATTCATGACTTGTTTGTTTGTTTGTTTGTTGTTTAACTCCGCACTCAGCAATATTCCTAGACTAACATATAGTCTCTGAAATGAACATATCATACAGAAAAAACAGTTGTTCAGTTATCTTAATAAAAATCTAATAAAAAGGGAGCCCAGTGATTCTCTTCATTTTCAGATACTGCAGTAATCTAGACTTGCCAAACATTATAGACTTGCATGGGCTGTAGTTGATATAAATGTATCAGGGTCTGTAAGACAGACTACAATATTCCAATAATAATGATAATTGTAAAATACATATCGCACTGTCAGTCTGTAAATAATTTAGTCTGGACCAGATAATCCAGTGATGAACATCATGAGCATCGATCCATGCAATAGGAATACAATGACATGCATCAATTAAGTCAGCGAGCCTGACCACCCCATCCCGTTAGTTGCCTTTTACGGTAAGAATGGGCTGCTGAAGACCTATTCTGTAATGTTTTAAGCAGCTGATGGGCTGTGGCACACTGGATGATAAACGAGTGAGGACATAGTAGCGGAGACCATGCTTAATTATATTCTCTCGCTTCCATGACCTAAGGGGCATAACCCTCATGCCTCGTTACACAAAGCATACCACTAAAATACATATCACACTGTCATATGCTCATGTGTGGACATGTGAACACTACATATTCTACCCCGAATCTTCACGGGTCTTCACGAGACTTCAATCATGAAAGTACAGAGTAGATTGGCGGGAGGTCTAATTATAGCATCACGTCATTTGGACTCACAACCAACCTATAGCGGTGATGGAGTCCAGTAGGGCTGGGAAGAGTCCAAATTTACTACTCTGGTACCCATCCCCCTACTACCAGAGCCTACCCAGGTACCCAATGTAGGTCTCAAGAGACCCTAATAGAGGCCTGGTTTCTATTTTTTGGACACAGCGTTAATGACAGGCCAGCGTGTATTGGAGACCAAGTGTCTAAAAGAGGAAATATGGTACATAAGATAAAATCTATCTCGTATTCCATGGTAAAGTTCAGTCTACCACTACCACATGTAGGAGCCGAATCCACCACAGATTTTTAATAGAGCCCTGGCTTCTATTGTTTTGAAAAAGCGAAAGACCCCGCATCAACTACAGGCCAGCGTGTATTGAAGACCAAGCATCTATTAGTGGAAATATGGTACATAAGATGAAATCCATCTTGATTTACCCCGGTAAAGATGAATCTATCACCACCACGTGTAGGAGCAGAGATATCAATAACCTAAAGAACGCCATTACCTCTGGCACAAGGAAATCCAGATGCTCCGCCCGCTTCAGATTGGCAGGGTGAGTGGACAGCCATTCCGGTGTTTGAGCATCATCTCCCAAGTCTTCACTGATCTGGAATTTCTTCCATACAATGCTCCCTTCACGAACATCATAGCACGCCTGGCAGGACAAAAGAATCGATCAGTTCACGTGGAGACTTCATAAAAACTAATGTACTCTCTCATTAAAGTCATATCTTTTACTCCAAAACGATACCTCTCTGAGTAAAGATCTGAGAACACCTCCATAGTGGGGTCGTGTTAACCTTTTAATCAGCCAATCGGTGTCGAGGTGTTGAAATTCTTCGTATGAGTGTTTGTTTGTTTGTTTGTTTGTTTGCTGTTTAATGCTGCACTCAGCAATATTCCAGTTATATGATGGCCGTCTGTAAATGAGTCTGGTCCAGACAATCCTGTGATTGACATCATGAACATTGATCCACGCAATGTGGATACGATGACATGCATTAACCAAGTCAGCCAGCCTGACCACCTAATCCCATTAGTCGCTTCTTACGACAAGTATTGTCGCCTTTTACGGCAAGCATGGGTTGCTGAAGACCTATTCTACCCCTGATCTTCTCGGGTCTGGTTCGAGTAAGCAAAGCTTTCAGACCAGCATATATGTAATTTCTGTATATAGAAAACGATTATAAATGGGGAGATCTGAATGGAAAGAGCTGGGCTATTATATTGTTGTGGATATTTTATAAATCCTGTAATGTATAGCCCCATGTAATCTACACACGAAAGGGATTCTATCGAGGGTTTATTTCTGTTCTGTTTTGATCATACTTTGCTAAGATCGAAATTCTCGTTTTGAGGCGGTAAAGAAATGAAGTCGAATCGATTGATAAAGCTGACATCTGATTGGCTCCTGAACCCATGCATCCTTGATGTAGATTGGGTCATAGTTCTCTCAGGGTTCACCTGATGTGACCTCAGGTGTCCTCAGATCCTCATGCACAGAGACAAAAGACCTCATTTTAGTGAGGTGGACTAGTGAATGTACTGGGTTACATCAAGTACCGGTATCACAGCACTGTACATCTTTTGATTACTGACTAATATTTCTATCATATTTGGTTTCCAAAAGTGATGATCCAGTCAAAATCAAATAACAAAACATCATCAAGTTTGTTTTATATCACAGCAGTTGAAAATATTTTTGTCTGCTTCTGGTTGGTTGCAAGTACTATAACGTAATATTTCATTATCAAGTCTTACATCACAAGTTTGTGCAACATTTGCCTAAAAATGCGAAATTCATTCAATCTCATTAAAATCAGACCTCAGTTCTCGCTACTGCTAAACAATGATCTGAGGACATCCCATTACAGGTCACGTCAGAACGATCTTCATCTGACCCATCAGAGCATCGCTTACCAGTTCATGAAAGTGACAGCCTCATGCAGCCTCGAAAACTTAACTCCGAACGATAGTTACGGCTTTAACGACTGAATTCATACAATCAAGACATCTATTAGCCATTCCAGAATGTTCTTTTGTTCAGGATTCAAATTTGTAATCAAGAATTTGTCAAAATATGATTCAAAGCGTAGTCGCCAATTTGAAATTAGTGCCGTAAAGCACGAGAAAGCTGCCTTGTGATTGGTCATTCCATTGGTCGGTCAAAGTTCGCGCAAGGTCAGTCTGACGTGACCCGTAATGGGATGTCCTCAGATCTTTGTTTAGCGGTAGTGAGAACTAAGATCTGATTTTAATGAGATTGGGAATTAATTTATTTTGGAATCAGTTCAGGTTTTACTGCTAATCATGTAGTGGCTAAAGTACTGTCAGAAATGCTAGAAAACTGCTTTTTGCCTGATAAAAAGGGTATGATTTTTCACAGAGTGTTGTTATTGAAATATCGAGTAACTACCAATCGCCCTACCTGTGGTTTGAAGTATTTCAGTCACATGGAGTCCTATTGACAAGTTTACAGGAGACAAATTTGACAAAAAACAGAAAGTTCACATTTATTCTGAGTCCAATGATGACAGTCGGAAACAGACTATTGAAATATGTGCATGTGACACGGTTACGTTGTCTTATGTACGCCAGTCAGACATTGTGAGCTCAACCCTGTTGTGCCAATCTTGGCTAATTATAACAGGTTCGTAGCAAGACATAACACATTCAAAAGTACAGATTCATATACATCATCAGCGGAGATAAATTATTTTGATACAAGTCAGAGGACATAAAAAAGAGCATATATCAAAATAACGCAAATTGACCAAATCTAGCCTGTCCACTTTTTGTAGTTGCCAACAATGGCTGCTTCCATGCAGAAGCAGGCCATGTGCTCTTGAAAAAATTTTTTTTTACAAATAAGTAAGCCATTGAAGACTTTCTTGTATGGAACTGCCAGTCAAAACCAACCTAGACACTTATTTTCACTTTCTGTCATGATAGAATAGAAACAATCAACTGTGTTTTCAAAAAAGAGATGTCAAATTCTGATTTGATACCTGTAAATATTTCAAATTTGAAACCTTGGGCTTATGTCGGAAATTTACAGGTATCAAATGTAGGTTAAATACCTATAAACTGTAGATACTCTCCTAAGTAAGTGCCTTCACCCTATGACAATAACATGGCCTACCCTGGCAGCGAGCTGCATCCCCACTTTGTCAGCCTCCTTCTCCAGTTTGCGACTGTACGGCAAGCACAGCAGAATCTGCAACAACAGTGTCTGAGTCATGGCATGTCAGCTTAATGTGGGAGGAAAGCCTGAAGTGACGTAGATCTTAAGACATTTACAACTTTGGTTAAACCTACGAGCACAGGTACAATCCCAAGGAATCATGATCAGCACAAATCTGTAATTCCAACCCACAATCATAGGTTCCTGGCATACCAAAGGGAGGCAACTCTGAACAGTGAACACCTTAGAGGACAGGGCCACAAGTGTCCCCATCAAGAAAATAGTTATGATCAGTTTTCAATGTTCTGTTATGTTTTCTGTGTTTTTAGATGTAAAAGTTGAAAACATAAATTTACATCAATGCACCTATACTTGTCAAAAAATATTTCTGGTTCCCTGATAAGAAACAGGATCAGTATTATGCATTAACAATGTTGTTATGCTCATTGAAACTGCAGGCTTATTTTGTACCATGATAGACATAATGTAAGTGTAGCAAGTTGATGCAACGCTGTGTTGTAACTTGTCATAAATTATTCCATACTTATTAGTCACTTTCTGATTTTGGTACAAAAACGTGTACCGGTAATCCAAATGACTTGGTAAAAGAAGCCGAACTGAGTTTGTTGTTTGATGCCAGCAATTCCCATTTCAACTGTAAACAAACCATGGCCTTAGGACTGAATCATATTTTGCTGACCACAAAAATCATATTTGGTACACAGATTCAACATTTTAAAAAAAAGCAATGGTGTTCGTAAATTTTTGTTTATATATTTTATTTTCTCAGTAATTTATTTTCAAATCTAAACCTTTCTCAATGTGATACATGTTAACTAGACTTTGGGCTTTAGGGGTGAGCTATGAGACTCAGGGTGAAAAATGAGATTGTAATCGGTATTCAGGGTATGGAGGGATTGGCACCCACAATCTTGGTAGCTACTTTACCCCAGGTCTCCCCAGGGCTCCTAGCTCACAACATGACAACCCCCTACTCACATCTAACACTCTGTTGTAGAACCACTGCGTCACCAGCGCGATGCCATCGTTGGGCATGATAGTCCAGATGGCGCCCATCACAGCGATGATCGCGACATCAAACAGCTGGGCCACACTCATATTCTCTGCCTGAAAGAACAGTAACACTCTAACCACATCTCATAAATGCAGTCTGCGTTGATGACACAAACATCTACTTGTAGGTATTATCTTAAGACAAGGCAAGAAGTAACCTCGACAGGTTGTGTATAACGCATACGCAGACACAATATGTGACGTGTGCGTGTGTGTTGTCGTGTCTGGCTGTCTGCATGTATGTGTATGTAAGACTGGCACTGTCTGAAGTGTTGAGGCCCCCAAAATGGAACAGCACGACGACAATGCAAGTTATATCACATAGGCTGAACTTACTGCGTGAGAGAGAAGTGTGTGCGCCATCTCGTGACCGAGGACTATTGCCATTTGGTCTTCGTTGGTAGCAATCTTTGTCATTCCCATAAACACAAAAATATGTCCATGCTGAAAGGGATAAATAGTTCCATGAATCCATGCAATATGCTTCAACATTTGAGACTATTTCTAAAAATTCATCATGAAGTTCATGTCGTAAATTAGAAACTTAATTTTAATTTATTTATAAGTTAATTACATTAGGATCACAGATATGCATTTTTAGGGTAAAAATATCTTCTGTACTTAGCCAGACTCATACCAGTTGCTTATCTCTTCTCATTCCCTAAAGGTAGTGGAAACTTCCTGTGCTGTGTTCCCCTAAAGGTAGTGGAAACTTCCTGTGATGTGTTCCCCTAAAGGTAGTGGAAACTTCCTGTGCTGTGTTCCCCTAAAGGTAGTGGACACTTCCTGTGTTGTGTTCCCCTAAAGGTAGTGGAAACTTCCTGTGCTGTGTTCCCCTAAAGGTAGTGGAAACTTCCTGTGTTGTGTTCCCCTAAAGGTAGTGGAAACTTCCTGTGCTGTGTTCCCCTAAAGGTAGTGGAAACTTCCTGTGCTGTGTTCCCCTAAAGGTAGTGGAATCTTCCTGTGCTGTGTTCCCCTAAAGGTAGTTGAAACTTCCTGTGCTGTGTTCCCCTAAAGGTAGTGGAAACTTCCTGTGCTGTGTTCCCCTAAAGGTAGTGGAAACTTCCTGTGTTGTGTTCCCCTAAAGGTAGTGGAAGCTTCCTCTGTTGTGTTCCCCTAAAGGTAGTGGAAACTTCCTGTGCTGTGTTCCCCTAAAGGTAGTGGAATCTTCCTGTGTTGTGTTCCCCTAAAGGTAGTGGAATCTTCCTGTGCTGTGTTCCCCTAAAGGTAGTGGAATCTTCCTGTGTTGTGTTCCCCTAAAGGTAGTGGAAACTTCCTGTGCTGTGTTCCCCTAAAGGTAGTGGAAACTTCCTGTGCTGTGTTCCCCTAAAGGTAGTGGAAACTTCCTGTGATGTGTTCCCCTAAAGGTAGTGGAAACTTCCTGTGCTGTGTTCCCCTAAAGGTAGTGGAAACTTCCTGTGCTGTGTTCCCCTAAAGGTAGTGGAAACTTCCTGTGCTGTGTTCCCCCAAAGATAGTGGAAACTTCCTGTGCTGTGTTCCCCTAAAGGTCGTGGAAACTTCCTGTGCTGTATTCCCCTAAAGGAGGTGGAATCTTCCTGTGCTGTGTTCCCCTAAAGGTAGTGGAAACTTCCTGTGTTGTGTTCCCCTAAAGGTAGTGGAAACTTCCTGTGCTGTGTTCCCCTAAAGGTAGTGGAAACTTCCTGTGCTGTGTTCCCCTAAAGGTAGTGGAAACTTCCTGTGTTGTGTTCCCCTCAAGGTAGTGGAAACTCCGTGTGCTGTGTTCCCCTAAAGGTAGTGGAATCTTCCTGTGCTGTGTTCCCCTAAAGGTAGTGGACACTTCCTGTGTTGTGTTCCCCTAAAGGTAGTGGAAACTTCCTGTGTTGTGTTCCCCTAAAGGTAGTGGAAACTTCCTGTGTTGTGTTCCCCTAAAGGTAGTGGAAACTTCCTGTGCTGTGTTCCCCTAAAGGTAGTGGACACTTCCTGTGCTGTGTTCCCCTAAAGGTAGTGGAAACTTCCTGTGCTGTGTTCCCCTAAAGGTAGTGGACACTTCCTGTGCTGTGTTCCCCTAAAGGTAGTGGAAACTTCCTGTGCTGTGTTCCCCTAAAGGTAGTGGAAACTTCGTGTGCTGTGTTCCCCTAAAGATAGTGGAAACTTCCTGTGCTGTGTTCCCCTAAAGGTAGTGGAAACTTCCTGTGCTGTGTTCCCCTAAAGGTAGTGGAATCTTCCTGTGTTGTGTTCCCCTAAAGGTAGTGGAAACTTCCTGTGATGTGTTCCCCTAAAGGTAGTGGAATCTTCCTGTGTTGTGTTCCCCTAAAGGTAGTGGAAACTTCCTGTGCTGTGTTCCCCTAAAGGTAGTGGAATCTTCCTGTGCTGTGTTCCCCTAAAGGTAGTGGAAACTTCCTGTGCTGTGTTCCCCTAAAGGTAGTGGAAACTTCCTGTGTTGTGTTCCCCTAAAGGTAGTGGAAACTTCCTGTGCTGTGTTCCCCTAAAGGTAGTGGAAACTTCCTGTGCTGTGTTCCCCTAAAGGTAGTGGAAACTTCCTGTGCTGTGTTCCCCCAAAGATAGTGGAAACTTCCTGTGCTGTGTTCCCCTAAAGGTAGTGGAAACTTCCTGTGCTGTATTCCCCTAAAGGAGGTGGAATCTTCCTGTGCTGTGTTCCCCTAAAGGTAGTGGAAACTTCCTGTGTTGTGTTCCCCTAAAGGTAGTGGAAACTTCCTGTGCTGTGTTCCCCTAAAGGTAGTGGAAACTTCCTGTGCTGTGTTCCCCTAAAGGAGGTGGAATCTTCCTGTGCTGTGTTCCCCTAAAGGTAGTGGAAACTTCCTGTGCTGTGTTCCCCTAAAGGTAGTGGAAACTTCGTGTGCTGTGTTCCCCTAAAGGTAGTTGAATCTTCCTGTGCTGTGTTCCCCTAAAGGTAGTGGAAACTTCCTGTGCTGTGTTCCCCTAAAGGTAGTGGAAACTTCCTGTGTTGTGTTCCCCTAAAGGTAGTGGAAACTTCCTGTGCTGTGTTCCCCTAAAGGTAGTGGAAACTTCCTGTGCTGTGTTCCCCTAAAGATAGTGGAAACTTCCTGTGCTGTGTTCCCCTAAAGGTAGTGGAAACTTCCTGTGCTGTGTTCCCCTAAAGGTAGTGGAAACTTCCTGTGTTGTGTTCCCCTAAAGGTAGTGGGAACTTCCTGTGTTGTGTTCCCCTAAAGGTAGTGGAAACTTCCTGTGCTGTGTTCCCCTAAAGGTAGTGGAAACTTCCTGTGCTGTGTTCCCCTAAAGGTAGTGGAAACTTCCTGTGCTGTGTTCCCCTAAAGGTAGTGGAAACTTCCTGTGTTGTGTTCCCCTAAAGGTAGTGGAATCTTCCTGTGTTGTGTTCCCCTAAAGGTAGTGGAAACTTCCTGTGCTGTGTTCCCCTAAAGGTAGTGGAATCTTCCTGTGCTGTGTTCCCCTAAAGGTAGTGGAAACTTCCTGTGTTGTGTTCCCCTAAAGGTAGTGGAAACTTCCTGTGCTGTGTTCCCCTAAACGTAGTGGAAACTTCCTGTGCTGTGTTCCCCTAAAGGTAGTGGAAACTTCCTGTGCTGTGTTCCCCAAGAAGAGACAGCTCCCCTAATTGCACGGCCTGGTCACGTGGTTCCAGTACGCCTGTGCATGGCAGTTTCCACTACCTTTCAGGAATCAGAGTCAGATAAGCAATCGGTATGAGACAGGATAAGGTAAAATAATTAATATTTAAAGCATATACTGGAACTAAAAATACCCCACAACTTGTACACCTCCACATAAGGTATTCCAAAACCTCCACTACAGGTACTCTAAAACCTTCACTACAGGTACTCCAAAACCTTTACAACAGGTACTCCAAAACCTCCACAACAGGTACTCCAAATCCTTCACTACAGGTACTCCAAAACCTCCACAACAGGTACTCCAAAACCTCCACAACAGGTACTCCAAAACCTCCATATCAGGTACTCCAAAACCTCCACATCAGGTATTACAAAACCTCCACAACAGGTACTCCAAAACCTCTACATCAGGTATGCCAAAACCTCCACAACAGGTACTCCAAAACCTCCACAACAGGTACTCCAAAACCTCCACAACAATGACAACAAGTACTCCAAAACCTCCACATCAGGTACTCCAAAACCTCTACAACAGGTAATCCAAAACCTCCACATCAGGTACTCCAAAACCTCCACATCAGGTACTCCAAATCCTCTACAACAGGTACTCCAAAACCTCTACAACAGGTACCCCATAACCTCCACATCAGGTACTCCAAAACCTCAAAAAACAGGTACTCCAAAACCTCCACAACAGGTACTCCAAAATCTTTACAACAGGTACTCCAAAACCTCCACAACAGGTACTCCAAAACCTCCACAACCATGACAACAGGTACACCAAAACCTCCACTACAGGTACTCCAAAACTGCTACAACAGGTACTCAAAAACCTCCACAACAGGTACTCAAAAACCTCCAAACAGGTACTCCAAAACTTCCACAACAGGTACTCCAAAACCTCCACATCAGGTACTCCAAAACCTCCACTACAGGTACTCCAAAACCTCCACAACAGGTACTCCAAAACCTCCACAACAGGTACTCCAAAACCTCCACAACAGGTACTCCAAAACCTCCACATCAGGTACTCCAAAACCTCCACAACAGGTACTCCAAAACCTCCACAACAGGTACTCCAAAACCTCCACAACAGGTACTCCAAAACCTCCACATCAGGTACTCCAAAACCTCCACAACAGGTACTCCAAAACCTCCACAACAGGTACTCCAAAACCTCCACTACAGGTACTCCAAAACCTCCACAACAGGTACTCCAAAACCTCTACAACAGGTACTCCAAAACCTCCACAACAGGTACTCCAAAACCTCTACAACAGGTACTCAAAAACCTCCACTACAGGTTCTCCAAAACCTCCACATCAGGTTTTCCAAAACCTCCACTACAGGTACTCCAAAACCTCCACAACAGGTACTCCAAAACCTCTACAACAGGTACTCCAAAACCTCCACATCAGGTATTCCAAAACCTCCACTACAGATACTCCAAAACCTCCACAACAGGTACTCCAAAACCTCTACATCAGGTATTCCAAAACCTCTTTAACAGGTATTCCAAAACCCCCACAACAGGTTCTGAAAAACCTCCACTACAGGTACTCCAAAACCTCCACAACAGGTACTCCAAAATCTCCACAACAGGTACTCCAAAACCTCCACATCAGTATTCCAAAACCTCCACTACAGGTACTCCAAAACCTCCACAACAGGTACTCCAAAATCTCCACAACAGGTACTCCAAAACCTCCATATCAGTATTCCAAAACCTCCACTACAGGTACTCCAAAACCTCCACAACAGGTACTCCAAAACCTCTACATCAGGTATTCTAAAACCTCCACATCAGGTTCTCCAAAACTTCTTTAACAGGTATTCCAAAACCCCCACAACAGGTTCTCAAAACCTCCACTACAGGTACTCCAAAACCTCCACAACAGGTACTCCAAAACCTCCACAACAGGTACTCCTTAACCCCACCTTCTTAAAGGCACTTTAAACCTTATCTCCACTTTGGGAACTACCACCATTTCAACTACTGCTATCAAAAAACCTAATCTGCCGAATAAGCACCCCATCCTCAAGTACACAGTGTACCATATCTTCATGTTCTACCTAGGTACCATTTGCTGCTGATTACAAACACTAGTACCTACAATGTAGAATCTGTTGCATTATTCCATGTGATGACAAAACTTAAGAAGATGAATGCCTGAGTTGGAGGTTCAGCTGACTGCTTGGGAAAGGGGGGGCAGTAAGGGAGGAATCTGTTATCATTCAAAATGTGTGACTCCAGATATGTCTGTTCTCTAATGAGCATACCCGGTATGTCACAGTTGAACTCACCGGTACAACAAAGGCATTGACATCTGGGGAATCTACAACGCTTATCCGCCACTTATCAACATCCATCTGCATCAGATCGGGGTTACTTTCCACTAGTCTTGTGGCAATCTTGAGAATCTTCTGGAAAGCTGGGTGCTCCACAGGAACAAGTCGCTCTTGGTACCGGTCCAGCTCCTGGCAACAACAATCACATATAAACTGTGTGGGCCAGACCATGCTCTGTATCTCCAGAGCTCTCATGTCTGTAAACCTACACTAACCCCTGGAGCCAATGCTGTGGTTCTCGCAAACCCAAATTACGCGTCCTAGATTTCCAGTAACCAACTTGATTTGCTATGCTTCTCAGTCCAACGGACCAATCAGAACGTGAGTTACAAACCAGTGTCAAGGTTGGGATGGTGATATCAACACCATGACAGCCAGTCCCATTGATTACAGTAGAGTTTGTGTGAAATTCAACATAGAAAAACTGACTGACACAGAAAATCTTTTGATGAAAAAGACATCTTCATGTCCATGAAAACCCATTTCCTTTTTCCATCTCTCAACGTTTGATTGGTCAGTAAAATGTTAATGAAAATCAAGAGCGGATTTTTTAGATTGTGAAAACCAAGGGATTGGATCCAGGGTTTAGTGTAAATGCAAGCCCCAGAAATATAGACGATTGGGCCAGACTTGTTCAAAAGCACTGCAGCACTTTCTTAAAACTTATGTAGCAAGGTGTGGAGTCATCCCACAGATGACATCCTTACCTCTTAAGCTTGCAGACAGAGTGAGCCAGTGTGGCCATGTGGACAAGGTGTCTGACCGTTTGATCAGAAGATCCGTGGTTTGAATCCCATCTCAGGACTCCAACAACCACAGTGTTGAAGATGCCCAGATGAGTATTTGTTCGAGATGTTCCAAATATATTTACTCTCTTTTTTTTCAGACGAGGCACTTGCATGATACTATTACAGATGACAGCCCCACTCTAACCCCTGCAAACACTTGTCCCCAGCCTTTGATTCGTATTCACTTGGGGGCTGAGAGCAGGGTTCGTCATCTCTTTTGTGTGTGCTAGTAGTGTGTCCATTGATTCCAAAACATTTTGTGAGAAGAAACAAATTGCAATTACAGTAAACTACGGTTATGACGAACTCAAAAGGACCACTAATTTGTAGTTCGTAATAACCATAGTTCAATATAAGCATATATACAGCATATATACAACAAATGGCCGGGACTAAAAAATAAGTTTGTTCTATCGGTGAGTTTCGTTATAGGAGTGTTCGTTATAAACGTAGTTTTCTGTATTCTCTGCTTAACACTTATTTCAGAAGCTGAATTTAGTAATGCTGTTTCTTATTCTACCTTTAATCATCATCATCATTACTTGTTAAAAAACTAGCTGACTGGCTATCTCGTAAAAGATGTCTCGGCTAGCTGTGATGACATTATGTTTGATGTGTCGTCCTTTGTTGTATTCATGCCACAACTGTACTTATTTCGGCTTCGAGTTACCATGCTGAGAGACCAATGAAGGACCCAAGTGACAGACACATATGTTTCAACAAAATAATTCTTTGGTACTTTTGAGCTTGTAAAGTTAAATTTGTTACATACTGTATTCAACGTAAAAAGCGCCTGGGGCGTTCTCAAAATTAGAAATAGGCGTCTCTTATTAGATTATAATTTTGGTGAGATAAAAAAACAGAGTTGAAAGATTGTAAATTTTGTGGTTTATGCTGACAACCTAAAATGATATAAAAGAAGAATATGTGCGTATTATACACGATAGATATATTTTTGAGAATTTAATTGCCCATAATTAAGGGTGCGTATTATACACGAATAAATAAGTCTTGTGTACATTGATCAATCAGAAGGGGTGCTAACTGGGATTGTTCACTAGCCAATATATTAGCAAATATAGCCGTGGGTGCTTATTAGAGCCGGGCACTTATCATGTCAACTACGGTATGTCAATAGCTGGGTGCACAAGCCCATCCAATCCCATTACAATCAGATCTTAGCACTCACTGGCCCTGGACAAAGGTAAGAGGACATCCCATTACAGGTCATATTAGAAAGTACTTTTGCAAACTTTGACTGACTAAGAAGTTGATATTAGCCAATCAGAAAGCAGCTTTCTCGAGCTTTACAACACAAGTTTCAAACTGGTGACTTCAATTCCAGAAAAAATATTTTGAAAAACTTTTGCATCAAAATTTGAAAACTGAACAAATCCAAAAATGTGGAATGTCTAATAAATGGCTGATTGTATGGTTGTACTTCCCATAGGCTGTGGAAAGTCTCATCCCTTTCAAATGTATATCCCATATGCTTGCTGTAAGAGGCGACTATGCTTGTCATAAGAGGCGACTAACAGGATGGGGTGGGCAGACTCACTGACTTGGTTGATGCATGTCATTGTTTTGCGTGGATCGATGCTCATCGTTCACTGGAAAGTCTTGTCCATACTCAATTATTTCAAACCACTATATTCATATAGCTGGAATATGGTTGATGCATGTCATCGTTTTGCGTGGATCGATGCTCATCGTTCACTGGAAAGTCTTGTCCATACTCAATTATTTCAAACCACTATATTCATATAGCTGGAATATGGCTGAGTGTGGCGTTAAACAACAAACAAACATGATGATGATAACAGTTTCTACTTACCACCTGTGCTCTTGCCTTGGAGATCTTCATCATCTGATCATGTGTGAACATCATGAATCTCTTCCTGTTGGTGATGGGCGTGGCCACCATGTGGGACTGGTAGTAGTACCAGCCCCAGCCAGCACCTGCCCCACCCATAAGGGCAAACACTGGCCAACTCTGCTTCACACGTGTCCAGATACTGCGCTTCTCTTCACTCGGTAATCTCTGCCACCACTTACGGACACCCCTGTGAAACAAAAGTGTACACAAGAACACCTTGATTATCCAGAGTGTACAATTTCTAGAGAATCATGAACATAATTGTATTTTTAATTTTACTTATATCTGCATCATACAGCAACATTTGAGACGACCCTTACGACTTAAATTTCATGCACTTCACTTTGTCATTGGTAGAATGGAGATTAACATTGGTATTTTAGAAGTGGAGCTATTATTAATAAATATCCCTGACTAGCAAGTATTTCAAGTAACAGCAATATAGAAAACATGTACTGCAGGCTTGATGTTCATAAATTCCTATTTCAAAATTGCAAAGACTCAAAATCAATCCAAATCCAATTATGTATAGAGAAGAGGTTACAGACATAACGGCAACAGGTACTTGCCTTCCAGTGAGTGCTGCCCCAATTTTCACGATTGGCTTCACCATTATCAGGAATATTGGTGGAATTGGTCTTCTTGGAGATGTCTGGAACTGGCGGACGTGGGAGAAGACAACCTGTGACCCCATCCCGAAATTGAGGCGCAGGTGCCCGACTCCTCGCGGCAAAACCGTTACCCCCGACCTCAACATCGCAACTAGAGGTAGCTAGGTCCCTCAAACTGGAGAAAGAACCCAGTTCGGCTGTTCGCCGGTTCACCTATTCGGACTCAAGTTCCTGGTATCGCAAACTCACGTGCAATAAAGAATCGGATTTCGTCAGACACGGATGCTGACAGTTGACGTAATATACAGAAAATATTATACCATTAATCAAACGTGTCAACCTGTCAACACTGAATAATTACACAAATCGTGTGTGGCAGTGACAACCATTCATTGCGAAATATCCATTCATGAATGCCATGACTTTCATGACAGCTGATGCCAAGCTCCTTCCCAGCGCGTGACACCTTCGTTACACTCTCGGTAACATCGCTGCCACCAGTGTGGGCGCGGCCATTACAAGAATCTTGAAATTTGCCCTCCAACCCCATATGTAGTAACGTTTATACTTCTTTTTATGTCTTTGGAAATGCCATCATATTTCAATTTGAAAAGGTTTACGACTGACCATGTTTTCCAGATGAATTTACTTTGTTGTTTTGATAATCAGATTGGTTCGAGATTGCAGACTAACGGAAAATCAACCAACTTCTCCCTTACATTCTTACTATATCAATAATACGATAGTTTTAATGAAACAAAAATTCAAATTGACAAACGAAGAAAGTAATTTAGCAGCGATAAGTGTATTCGGCGTCACGACAGTCGTCACTTGTTTGTAAACATAACGGTCATTCGGTTGCGAGTTCAACTCCAAGCATGGTTGTGGCCACCTATTCACAGTGGGGAGTTTTGACTGGTGGCAGCGATAGTATAGAGAGCTCCGGGAACGTACTATCGCTGTGAGGAGCTTGAGCTGATGCGGTCAAAGGGAGACCACTCTAATTTGGTCCCGATTGAATATGTTTCATACCTTCGCTCACAAGGAATCAGGCTAAAACGGCACTGCGTCAAGACGGCACCAAAGTGGCCTTGCGAAGACGACGCCAGATGTAGATTATATTTTTCGATAGATATACGAAAAACAAACACGATTTTACTGTTTACTGTACGTTTAAGTTGGTATTATACATTTATGTTTCATAGACAATATCTGCCGATTTTTCAAATGTAAATTAAGTTTTTTAACAGCATACGATTGACTTTTTTTGTTTTAACAATTTTTCAAAAACGAAAAAATTTTTTATCGCCATCAGAATTCGAACCTGTGATATCCGTACCTAAGTCCAACGAATGTACGTGGACACCACGCTTTGGGGGAGAAGGCGCTCAACGTGAAACGGAAAAATCCATTTCACTTGTTATTTGGTAGTGTAATGTATTGTTGACCAGTGATTGTAACTGTGTTACAATGTTTCCACTGTGTTTCGACAGACGCTCATTCCGTTGTATATGGACGATGATGAGTCGTCAGGAATGCATTTAGATGTTAGTGTGGAGTGTAAACTTACGGTATACCGTGGACTTAGGTAGAATATTCTGTGATGTTCCAGTGCCGCTACACAGGCGAGGGCACTGTGTAGAAATTTTCAGTAGCTAGTTAGGCTGTATTTAAGGGGACAAGAGCGTGTTTACGTGTCTCTCACACATTTCTAATCCGGAATCCCCACCGGGTAATTACTCTACAAATTAAGTGTTTACTTAATAACTGCATGGATTAACACATACTCTAAAAAAAGGCGACTGTGGTTGTCGTAAAAGGCGACTAACGGGAACAGGTGGTCAGACTCGCTGACTTGGTTGATGCATGTCATCGATCCCATTTGCGTGGATCGATGCTCATGATATTAATCACTGGATTGTCTAGTCCAGACTCGATTATTTACAGACCGCCGTCAGATAGCTGGAATATTGCTGAGTGCGACGTTAAACAACAAACCAACCAACGTGTTAAAAACTATTTTGTTCATTCAGAAATAGTTATTCACATGCGCTTTTATATTTTTGAACGTACAAATATTACATAGTTCATTTTGCTAGTACAACATGTTTGTTTTTCTCTAATCAATTGTAGCGTTAATCTTTACACAGAGAATCTCACGCTCGTGTCTTATGATATCAAATATATCAACATTCAAATTCAAATTCTATTTATCATCTTTCCAACATTTTGTTCAGTTGAATCGGCAAAAGTTCGCGAAATGTCGTTCTGACGTGACCGATGTTCTCACATCTTTGGTGTAGCGGTAACGAGCACACAAATCGGATTTGAGTGAGATTGGGTTTGGTCTGGTTTGGTTTCGAACGAAAATTACACTAAAACATGTTTAACGTGGGTAATAAATAAAATACAAAACTCATCCTCGTTGATACCAACTCTAACTCGTCAACTTTCTATGGTAACTGACCTCGCGTTTGCTAGGTCAGATAAAGTCCACGCGTTTTATAAAAATGGTATCTAACGAGAATGAGGGTAGTATTGTTTATTTATATCTATATAACATATGATGTGTAGGTTCTTATGAAAACAAACATGGCTTCAAACCATTTGGCTCTACATCAGATATTGCGCTTCACCCAGACATTATATTCCTAAGAGGTTACTAAGTCACTATCGTGAACAATCTCATTAAATTCAGATATTAGTTTGTTTAGCGGCAGCGAGAACTTAGATCTGATTTTAATGAGATTGCTATCGTGAATAGTAATGTCTAGGCTAACATCTAGTCTCTGAAATGAACTTATTTTACAGAAAAACAGCTGTTAAATTATAGTTATAAAATATAATAAAAAGGAGCCCAGAGACTTTCTTCGTTTTCAGCCTGATACTGCAGTAATCTAGACTTGCCAAACATTATAGACTTGCAAGGGCTGTATTGGATATATTTGTTTCATGGTCTGTGTGACCCTGAACTTCGATTATTTTAAGAATGACATTATTTGATTCCCCTGATGAAGGAGTAAGCATATACTCAGAAACATTGTGTTCGTCATAATTAAGAAGTTGACGTCCATCAATTCTCTTCCTTATGTGTATCACTTCTAAACGCCTTTTAAAGACGACATTATATGATAACGATATTACTTCCCTGATATGTTCCCGTACCGTAAATACCATGCCTATATAGGAATAAGAAAATACATTACGCTCGCACCCTACATATTTCTGTTCCTAATATATGATATTTACGATACGAAAACACGTTCGGCTTATGATCCCAAGTTATCATATGAGTCCGTTTTCTTTAAAGCTTTTGGAACCCTTTTGGCACGGGGCCGTTTTAATCATAACCTGCCCCATTCGTGACCAACTCGTGTTATTCCGGGACAAGCAGGTTACGGAAAGGGGCGAGTGTGGACGAATGAACCTGCCCTGGGGAAAACCATACAAACTCTACCACAGCGTCATCTCCGGGACTACAGTCTGCTTACAGAGCAATTTAGGAGAGAAACGTCGCTGCATGAAGATTGTGGATCGCGTGCATTCCAAAAATATTTCTCAAGGGGAGTAACTACAGCAAGCACTTGTTCGGGTTTACGAAGGTAAAGGAGGTTTGTGCAAAGTCAATATCCAGGTTTGTTTTCAGAATGTTGACAGACCGATCAGAGATGACCACAGATTGAAGTAACTTTAAATTAGTCTATGCTTACGCGGAACATTAATTGGCCACAGAGCTGTGAATTCTGCACATGCATCTAATCATCAATTCATGATTGATCGCCATGACCAGAAATGACATGGTTTAGGCTATGTCATAAAGGAAGCATTCTATGGTATGGTTCGAAACTGAAACTGAACTAGTATAATGTCTGGCAACAATGCAGTTTACCGGGCAACGCTCCGCCCGCTACAAACAGATGAATTACTGCGCTACAGCGCTGTACCGTTACGATGGCTCACGCTCGAATGCACTCGCACTTTTCTCAGTGAGCTTAGACGCCTTGGCGATCCAACACCCCTCTTCGATCTTAGGAAGCTGACACGCCTTAAATTGGCGATCCAACACCCCTCTTCAATCTTAGGAAGCTGACACGCCTTAAATTGGCGATCCAACACCCTTTTTTTTGTCCTTAGGGTTATCCTATAGTTAGGGCTAGGGTTAGCCATAAATTCTTACCTTTTCACAGTGTTTCAAATAATTCAATGAGGGTCATCCTATTAAAGTCCAGGCAATCTAGGCCATATTTTCACTAAACTTGGAACAATTTGCAACAGAATTTATTTTACCATTATGCATTTCTACAAGGTCCCGAAAACAACATACTAAAAGTCCCAAGCAATCCCAGTTTGGGAAATATGTCTCATTTGCATAATCCAATGTGGCCACCAATTATCAATATATCTTGCATATGTCAGATGAGGGTCAATGTTTTCATGAAAAAAAGCATGTGTTGTCTTGCGATGTTATGTTTCTAAAAAGATATTCACAACTCCTGAACGTTTTCGATTATTGACAAATCTGCAAAAATTTAAGACGGCCGCCAAGTTTCCTAAATGTGTGTTTATTGGATTATGCAAATTAGACATATTTCCCAAACTGGGATTGCTTGGGACTTTTAGTATGTTGTTTTCGGGACCTTGTAGAAATGCATTGTGGTAAAATAAATTCTGTTGCAATTTGTTCCAAGTGAAACCTTATTTTGCCTGGACTATTAGAGTAGTCATCGCTCGATTGGTTAGTCATTTTGATGGACAATGACAATGATTGTTTACTTAATTTCCCATGCATGTTAATGAGGTGCTAATGACCCGTTAAATGAGCACTAAGAACATGTGAATGTGTTCTTAGTCCAGTGGTAGAGCGTTGGCTAATTAGTGCAGTAATAGCATGGTTCTCTATATTATTGTGGTAGTTAATATAAAATGGATCATAAAGCACACTTACCAACCTATTACATATGTCATATGCACAATGTTTCTTGTTCTTTTTTCAACTTTTATGACACATCAATTAGGATTGATGGATGATGAATTTCTTTACTGAGCTTGGTAAGCAAAGTACCTGTCTTTATCAACTAAAGGGCAGGCAATGTTATCGCTCTATCACTATTCTGTGGTTTATATCACTTCCTGTTTTGGATTATGCATAATCAGTATGCATACGACCAAGGTTGGGTCAAGGGACATCTCCCAAACAAATGGGCTCTTTTCTATCCAATTTCTAATGGAGGTGACCACATTTTTTTCAGAAACTATCATAAAAAAGTTAATGTTTATACTTCCAAGTAGCTGTGACACATGCAACGAGTCCTGTATTCAATCAAGCGGTTGAATATCATGCCTAGTTTTGCATAAGCAAATAGTCGACAGCAGATGTGGATTATGAGATGTACCGACACCGCGACAATATAGAGCCCACGATAATACAGAGTCATACTATAATAGGACCAAAATAGAGTATTGTTTCTGCCCCTATATAGTTTGGCCTAAAATGATTGGGAGGATGCAGTGTGAATGGTACAATCTTTGTATTCTGGAAGTAAACCGGAAATATCAAAGCCAGATATGGGGGTTTGAAAACGATGTGGATGGTGTCCAGAAATATAATACTTAATTTGCTTTTCATATGTTGAGCATTTCTCTACGATTGCATAGATAGATGTTCATTATATGCCAATCAAACTATAAACTCTGATGGGGTCACTCTTGAGGAACTGATCGAGAGTGACCAAATCAGCTCTATAAACAGCTACTAAATGAATGTAATCACATGATTTCGTTCTTGTTTTGAGCCTGTGCAGCGTTGCGTCCCTTGGTCAAGCCAGAAACCTATGATGGTGGGTTCATTTCTGAGATTCCCAAGATTATGTTTCTAGGTTTGTCAGCACCTTTGGTTTGGTTTCATCAAAGTGGAAACTGTCCTGCATCACGTTAGACTTTGGAGCTGACACACCCTGATATAACTGAAATACTGTTCAAAGTGGCTCTAAACCCATCTCAGTCACACACTCTACATAATAGAGCTGGGACGGTTGACTAGGGTACTTGGGTCGGATAGGTCCTGAGTAGAACCCGGGTATCCACAGGACTACCCGGACCCGTGGTTAGTCACATGATATATTGTTTAATGACAAAAACCCACTATAGGTCAGTGGCTACACAAGTCGCAAATGTTCGACATTCTTTCAGACGATGCAAACATTCCTTTTGACTTGTGTGTGTTTGAGTAAAGATAAAGCTACAGTCAACTTTATGCATGATCTGATCATTTCATACATGGCTGCAGTCAAACAATCGGACAGTTTGTACCCAACTCTTGAGACCTACAATGGGTACCCGGATAGGTCGGGTAATAGGGGATCAGGCACCTGGGTAGTAAATTTGGACTAGTCCCAGCCCTACTACGCGAGTACATTTATTGGAATTAATATAACCACAGACTGTCAAAACTGAACTCTCTGTTAGCTGAGACTTGTGGTTTTGTGCAAACTGAAGTGGGGTCACAACTCACTGGTGTTTTTCGTGAGCTTAAATGCACGTTTGGGAAGATTATTTAGAGAAAATTGATTGTTCCATTGCCTTTGTATCTTTGTTAAAATAATATGTGTTGTATGTTTAAACAGATAGACTAGTGGATGTGATGAGAAGCATGATGCGCCACAGCCTGTGTGGAGCTTGTAGGAACTTCACCAACATTGGCTGGCTCTGCCGGGCCCGGACATGGTCCCACTGCCTCATCCTCATTCTAACACTCAACATCATCTTCTACCTCAACAGCTGCCCCTTCTTCACCGACCCCGCAGACATAAAAAACTGGAAGCATGGTTTTGTCAATGAACTCCCAGACCACCATTTCATCTCCTTTAGGTCCCGATTGGGTGAAGATGTCAAGGACACTCTCCGAAGTTCTGTTCCACCAACTGTCCACTACTTTTGGTGTCAGACGGGAAGCTTTCAGTTCCAGCATTACCTGAGTGTCCTCAGTGCGTACAAACTGCTCCAACCCAGCGAGATAATATTCCACTACAACAGCCTACCAGAAAGAGATGATCTTGGTTATTACCAATACTTTGAAGACCTGTTGAGAGATTTGCCCAATTTGTTTCCAGAACCGTTGTCAGACAGTAGAGCCTGTCATGAAAATTCCCACAAAGCACTGGAATATATTTCTGACATGTTAAACAAGCAGGGAGGTGTTGTCCTTGGTGTGAATGTTGTACTTTCTGAAAATATACTGCAGTTTATGAACAAACCAATATCTTTGAACCATGTGGAAATTAATTTTGCATCCACTGGTGTCCTGATGATGTCACCAAATGTGCTAACAGCCAACACCAAAACATCTATTTTAACTTCCCCGACAAACATCCAATGCTCCCCCAACTCCACCTTCAGGAACCAGCATCATCCCTGTGCCGTCCTCTTGAGGGAACTCTTCCCTGTCCAGATCTTTCACCTGCACAATGATTTTGGTGAGCTTGCACGATTTGTTGGATATGGTCAAAAGGAGTCGCTGGTTGCCTCGCCTCAGAAAGACCTCATCCCAAACATTGTCCACTATGTTTGGCTTGGAGATAATTACTTTACCTTCTTCAATCAGTTGTGTCTCCTCAGCGCTTTGCATATTCAGAAAGCAGAAAAGATTTACATTCATGGAAATAAAGAACCAAGAGGGATATACTGGGAAGAAGTAAAAAATCTGCCCCAGGTGCAGTTTATTTTTCGAGATTTCCCTCATTTTGTGTTTGGAAACGAGTTGAACAATCCATCTCATGCCAGTGATATTTTGAGAGTTGATGTTCTACTTCGGTACGGAGGTGTCTACTTGGATTGGGATATACTGTTGGTGAAGCCGTTGTCAGAAGGTCAGAGGAAGTATGAAGCTCTTGTGTGTGTGGATTGGCCGCAGGCAGGCCATTACCCTGACACATTCAACATGGGCATAATGGCTGGTAAACAAGGAGCTACTTTTCTCCAGTTCATGATGGAATCATTCCGTCACTATGTGGACAGGGACTGGGCGTTCAATGCCATCCAGGTACCCTACAAGGTTTATGAACAACACCCAGACAGTGTCCTTCTTGACCGACACCTGCAGGTCATCTGCTTCAAAGGGTCCTGTCATCCAACATGGAGGGCAGGATACAAAGAGATCCCAGATGATGTTCAAGATTCTCCACAGTTTGACTGGAAGACAGAGGCGAACGGGATTCACTGGACATTCCCAGACCCAACTGAGTTTTCAGACAAGAAGACTCTGCTCGCCTCTACTGGCTTGTATGCAGACATAGGGAAGTATGTCCTACACCAAGTTGGTGGCTAATACTAAATACCGTATTCGACGTAATAAGCCACCTGCTCTAATAAACCCCCACGGCCATATTTGCTAATATATTGGCTAGTGAACAATCCCAATTAGCACCCTTTCCGATTCGTCAATGTACGAAAGACTTATTTATTTGCGTATAATGCGCACTCGTGTGTTATATGCACCCTTAATTATGGGCATTTAAATTCTGGAAAAATATATCTGTCGTATATAAACTTTTCAGGCTGTCAGCATAAACCACGAAAATTATCTTTCAACTCTGTTTTTGTTCACCAAAATAATATTCTAGTAAGAGCCCCCTATTTTTAATTTTGAGAGCGCCCTGGGCGCGTATTACGTCGAATACGGTAAACAAACATGTTTCTGGTTTCCTTGCACTCATCTGGAGCTTTTGGTCCTGAAGAACCTTTTTGGTATTTTTCCTGGAGTTGTACTACAGCTTTTTCACCAGTCCTGTATTGTATGTATTTGATGCCACTTGTGGATATTTTAGGGTTGGGACGATAAACCAAGTGTGCGATCCGATATGTATTACGGTACCTTGCTCACGATCTGATACGTATCGCGATATACTTGCAGTTGGCAGTGTCAGGTATGGGGCAATGGATGAAAATATTTGCATTTTCAATACTCATTTTTACTTGTAATTAGTGTTTGGTGTAACACTTATTCAAGAAAACATTTAAAGTAAGAATCGATACTTTTTACTCAATGTGCGACTGTGATCGCTTCTTGTATCGAGAAGTCAAAAATCGCGATCCATCGATACATTGGTGTATTGTCCCACCACCGGTATATTTGTTGTGCTTCACTATAGATGAACCAGGTCAACTGATGGCCTGCCTCATCCCCATGCTCTTAGGCTCTGTTAAAGTACGATAATAAAGTATAGCACGACCATGGTGCTAAAGTTGATTTGTGAAACAGCGCCCATGGACGCACATGCCAAGAGAGTCTCAGGACAACTGAAAATTGAGACGATCTTCAGTATTATTCTGCTGAAATTGAAAGTCATGTCAGTTATTTTGTGGGTTGTTTGAATATTCCCTGGAGCCTAAACCCAAAGGCTGTTCTGTGAACAAAGCCTAGTTTCTACCCTTGCCACATCAAGGCCACTTTTCTGGGCTCGACCCTGGCACCACCTTGCGTAGATCACAAGTTGTGCCCCTTGTAATGAAAACGCGATAGCCAATCAGATCACTGTTCATATCTCGTATATCTTCACAAAAATGGTGACTACCATAGGCGACAACCTTGTCGATCAGATAATGAAAACATTCACAATTTCATCCTTGATACAAAAAACATAGGCAATCGTTGGGGGCTTTAAAGATGAGAAAATCATATTCGTGTCAACAAAGACAGGCAGCAGTAAATCACTTTCAAACGAAAGTAGTTTACCAGTCATAGATGTAGATTTTTAAAATGTTTTCTGATTGGACTATCGATATGTATGATAATCCAATCATATTTAGCACAGGAAAGTGGGCTTGATGTGACAAGAGTGGAAACAAAACTTTGATATTAAGGCTAGTGGACGCTCTTGCCTCGGGAAGATGGCAGTGAGGTAGAACTAGCCCAAGTTGTTATCGAGTCAAGTTCTTACAAATATTTGTAAATATTGCTTTCTGAAAATCATATCATGTATTGTTTAAGCAAGTATACACTTGCGATACATCAATTCATCGATGAAATGTGACACCAGTGTATTATAGATGTCTCCTATTCAGGGTCTAAGACGGTAGATCACATGATCACCAACCAATCTACAAAATGGCGATCACTAACCACTGGACAAATGTCTGTCATATGATCACTAACCACTGGACAAATGTCTGTCACATGATCACAAACCACTGGACAAATGTCTGTCACATGATCACAAACCACTGGACAAATGTCTGTCACATGATCACAAACCACTGGACAAATGTCTGTCACATGATCACAAACCACTGGACAAATGTCTGTCACATGATCACAAACCACTGGACAAATGTCTGTCACATGATCACAAACCACTGGACAAATGTCTGTCACATGATCACAAACCACTGGACAAATGTCTGTCACATGATCACAAACCACTGGACAAATGTCTGTCACATGATCACAAACCACTGGATGTGATGGACCATCATTGACTGTTTGTTTACTGTGGTAGCCATCCTTTACAAAATGGCCACCAAGCCTCAGAAGAGAGCTTTTATTCATGGAGGTTGTGGTTACGCATGTCATCCAAGAATTTACTCCCTCTGTTCATGTATAACCATTTGTGTTCTTCTATTTATATATATATATGGTTTTCATCAATGTTGTTACAATCAGGTGTTAATGCTGACTACCGCTACACAACGATCTGTGGACATCCCATTCAGGGCACATCAGAATGACCTTTCGCAAACTTTGACTGACCAATGAAATGACTTACAGGAGGTCGACATTAGCCAATCAGAAAACAGCTTTACGACACTAGTTTCAAACTGGCAAAATCCTTTCCAGGCTAGGATTTTTGAAAATATTTTGAGAAAGTTTGATTCAAAGTAGAGAAATTCAACATTTGAAAACTGATCAAATGAAAATTCTGGAATGTCTAATAGATGTCCTGGCTTCTGTTTCAAGTGTTAATCTCGTTGAAGCAAGAGATAGATGATGATTTTGATTGTATCAGTTGTACTGCCCATTACCGTTGTCAGGAATGCCCTGTGTTAACTTTTTCGAGGATGTAAGATTAGAAAACACATTTGAACTTCCATTCTCGTAAGCGTGACCTGTAATGGGATATCCCCAAATCTGTGTTGCGGTAGCAAACACCAAGATCTGATTTTAATGAGATTTGGTTTACATGTTCATATTTAAAAACTTTGTTACTGTTTTGTACAATTGTATTATTTCTATTGGTTTAAATGATAGATTGCATTGGTGATGAGTTGGTTTGTGTTGCCTACCAACTGTAAAAACAACAATCCACGTTTCAACGCCTGGTACAAGTTTTTGTCACTTGAAGCTGAAACATTGTGTTCCCATTCGTATACTGTAGTACAGAGTTGCACCCCTTTGGCATGCCAGAATCCTATCCTATGGGTTTGAATCCAAACATTGGTCAGCACAGTACCAATCCTTCATCAAAGTGGTCAGCATGTAAGATCTTTATCACTTCCAACATTCTCCCAACACAAAGATGACACGCAATGATATTCGAGTAACCATGGTAACTGACAAACAATTTAAAGTGTTTTTTATATCCCTCTCTCTCTTAAGTACATGCTTAATTCAGCAGTTTTGGATCTGAATGTCTCGGAATACACAGAACATAACTATACCACTCACAAGAAGTTAAGGGTTTGATGTTTTAATATTACTGTAGTTAATCTGTCATGCCATTAACTATAGTAGTATGAAAGAATCGGGTGATCCTTAACTTTGCAGGGTTAGAAATTGGCACTAGTCCTATAGTCCTTGCCAAACTGCCCAATAGTAAAGGTATCCTAAGGACTAGTAGAATTTTAATTTTTTTAAAAGGTTTTGCTATATGCTATCATTATAAGGACTAGTGGACTGAAATTGTTAGTTTCTACCCCTGACTTTGTTGTAGAAGTATATAATTGATAGGGCTGTGTATTGGTAAAAAGTGTACATGCAGATCCTATTTTCTGCAAACTAAAGAAAACATTTCTAATAATTTAATAAATGAACCCTGGTATTAGAATTCCCCTCTTGTTTGCTAAGATGTCAAAGACAGCATGTTCAGTCTCCGCCATTTTGTTGTCATGGATTCAGAGATAATGTGAGAGCAAAATCACTGCCATGTTTCTCAGATTTGTGAATCAAATTCATAGGGAAACATTAAATGTAAATTAATTTCTGCTCAGATTTTAGGTTAAAACGAAACAAATAATAATGAAACTTGTTACACATGTCAATCTCATTAAAATCCCGCTTCTGCTAAACAAAGATCTGAGGACATCCCATTACGGGTCATGTCAGACCGACCTTTCACAAACTTTGACCGACCAATGAAATGACTAACAAGAAGTCGACAATAGTCAATCAGAAGGCAGCTTAATCGAGCTTTACGACACAAGTTTCAAACTGGCGACTCCGCTTCGAAACATATTTTGACATATTCTCAATTAAAAAATTAAAAACTAAACAAAATAACCATTCTGGAATGCCTAATAGATGGTCTAGATTGTAAGAATACAGACATTAATACCCTATGTTTGTTTTTTTCAAGGTTGCACAATAAAAAAATCGCATTTCAACTGTCACTTTCATGATCTGATAAACGATGCTCTCGTTGGTCAGATGAAAGGTCGTTCTGACATGACCCGCAATGGAATGTCCTCAGATCTTTGTTTGGCGGTAGCGAGAACTAAGATCTGATTTTAATGAGAGTGTTACACATGTTTACCCAATATACCAGATAAAATATTGCAATATGTATCATTAAATAAGTGTAATGCATTCTTCATTATACCAGTAATACGTGCAGTCCTAATAATATACTGAACAGCAAAAGAAACATCACCATGGATAGATATATGAGAAACTTTATTTGTCCAAACACTGTAAACATACTTTGAGACGTATTAAAAAGATGAAACTTGGCAAAACTGATCATCAAGGTTGAAATTAAAGTGTCAAATGTTCTTAAAGTGAAACACAACACTCGTCTCTGAGAAAATGGCATCACAAGTCAGTGTCTCGTGTGTCTGCCATGTGCATTGATGACTGCTGTGCAACGTCGATACATGGAATGGATGAGATGGTTGATGAAGGCCATAGGCACTTGAGCCCACACACTAAGGAACGCCTGACGCAGTTCAGCTGCAGTTGTCGGCCTTGGTCGGATGTCATTCATCCATCTTTGAATCTCGTCCCACAGGTGCTCAATGGGATTTAAATCGGGACTGAGGGTAGGCCACTGCATGGTTCTGATGTCATTCTGCTGGAGGAAGTCTCTTGTTGCTCTCGCAGTGAGGGCACGGGCGTTATCATGCTGAAACTCTTGGTTGCAGCGACATGCCAAATGAGGTATGGCATGTGGTCTCAAGACTTGATCAATGTACCAAACTGCTATGACACCATGGCCTCTGACGTCGGGTGGTGACCCTTGGTCTTCCACTATGTGGTCGGTCATCTGTAGTGTTGGTGGTCTGGTACCATTG